CCTCTATTGATGTGGGATCAGTTCATTGCCACGTCAACTTGGCGGGATTCAATTGAAGTGTTGTTAGAGGCAACTCAAATGCAATTTGTTTATGCATTTAATATTCTTAGCAAATAGGATTTAGTTAGGCGTAAGACTTGAATTTGAATTGATTCCACCCCAGGGGTAAGCCAAGCCCAAGTCGATTATGGCAAGTTGAAGTTGAAGTTACTTTCAGCTCCAAATTTTACACAATTTTACAAATTTTAATCAGGTTTTTACTGTGCTTAGAGACTTAAGAAATAAGAGCTAATAAATTTCATGTTAAATTAGGCCTATGTGATCCGAAATATATGCCTAATGCGACCTTAAATTTATTAAGTTTTATTTAACGTGAAATCTTGACAAAGCTCTGTGAAGTCCATTTGAGGAAGAGAGGGAGAGGGAGAGAGGGAGAGATGGGAAGAGATAGGTATAGAGAGGGAGAGATGGAAAGAGATAGGTAGAGAGAGAGCGAGATGGTGAGACAGAGAGCGAGCGGGAGAGAGAGCGAGAGAGAGAGAAAGAGTTTGAGAGAGAGAGAGAGAGAGACAGGTAGAGAACAGAGGCTGAGAAAGAGAGAGCGCGAGAGTGAGAGCGGGAGAGTAATAGAGACCCGGGCAGACAGATAGAGAGATTGAGAGAGAAAGAGAAAGTTAAAGGAAAGATCCTTTATTTACGGAATTCAAGAATCGAACTAGATTATTTACTTGAAATCCTAGTCTTACCTACCAAACATGAGGATCATGTTCCCACTTGGGTCCCTGTTTAAGATTCCTACCGTCTGCCGTCTTCTTTATTAATCAGATTTGTGTACATTAGATAATGCGCAGTGAAGATCTGATGTCTGAGCCAGTTTCAATTATCAGAAGGCCCCACATCTGGTTCTATTACGATCACAATACTATTCATTGCAGAACTAAGGCTTAGAGCTCTATTTATATTTGCTTTAATCTACCATTTTGGACAGAAAAGGCAAAATCGAAATCGTTTCTTGGGCGAAACTTAAATTACAATAATAAGCGGCGAAAGAAAATCAAGTTGACCGCGCCTTGGCGCAAGGAAATCGCTTGAGTTGCCGCACAGGCGGCCACGGGGCGCACTTCTGGCTGCTGCCATGGAATGTGGCATGGATTAAATTTTGATGAGACGATTTCATTTGATGTTAAACATAATTTGTAAACTCTGAGCGGGAGCCAGAGGGGGACTTATTAGTCGCGCAGAACGTAACTGTCCTGCTCGCTGGGGTGTCTTGTGTGGGCTGGAGGCGGCGCTGTGGTCGTGTTGGTCAGTTGATGAGGGCGATTAGCAAAGTCTGGTCCAATGCTGTCGACTGTGGATAGCGCATGGAGTGGGCCGCCTCTAATTAACCGCAATCTCGGCGAGTGTCGTTCGGGGAATTGCGCATACGCCGCGTGTGCCGGCATTTACTTTCGGCTGCGGCACAATCTTTGACCTGGCTCGAATGCCAATATGCGACGATGATAAGATTTTTCATTTATTACGCAAGAGAATGAGAATGAGCGACAGAGTCGAGTGGCAGAGCCGAGTGGGTGGCACTGATAAGTGAGGCCAGTGAAGGCTCCTCGATTGACTTTGACAAGTGGTTAACATTTTTTAATGTCACATTTTGTGGCCACGCAACGGCAGCTGGCTTAGCATTTAGTGTGGAGCGAGGCAGAGCGCTTCCTTTTTACTGACCATTGAAGCGTAAATTTTGAAATTGAAATCATGAGGAGCAGAAATTGAACTGCTGCTGCTGCTGCTGCTGATGCTGCTGCTCCTGGCTGACTGTTTATCTTCCACGCTGGCTGCTTCATTGAGTTTTATGTACAGAAAAATAAGAACAAATTTAACGAAATGTAAAGAAAAACTTCAGCAGCAGCAGCACCAGCAGCAGCTGAAGAGGTAGAAGCTTGAATGCCCTTGTTGCCATATGGCATGTATCGTAGATAATACCCAGATTCAGTGCTCCATGCAGCACAGAAGTGAATGGAAGCATTGTCTACCTTTTAGCTAAGACTTATGCGTACATATGTATAGCAGTTTATGTGTTTATATAGTCTGTGCACAGTTACTTTCTATATACTCGTAAAATTCGACTGTGGCAGCAGGGCGAGAGCTCATAAAAGTTGCTGCCACTGTTTGGCCGCCAGGACTAAGCCGTTTAAGCGTTCCGGCACAAAGTGTTAAGTCCTGTTTGGCCCACACTGAATATTTGAATGCTTTATAATTAGATTTTATGCGCAGGAGATTCGCTGTCGTCAGCTCGTTTAAATATATGTATATACATAGTTGTATAAGAGCTAACAGGTGGGACAGGTTATTTGATTTTGGCTTTTATTGAATGTCGACTTTGTTGTGTATAATTGCAGGAGTTTTATGCTCGCCCCGTTAAGCCTTTGCCCGACTTACCTGGCAACGCTTGACTGTCACTGCGCATAAATCAGATGCGGAACAAAATTATAATGGTTGATCAGATTGTTATCCGCAGTCGCCGTGACATGTTTACAGCCTGCTGCCCGGCGGCAATTCGCATTTCTTTTATTTGAATAAAATTTGTGTTTGTCCTTTTGCGGGTCTACGGAAAAATGTTGCCAGCTCCGTCGGCTACATCTGGCGTATGCGTAACCGTAATAAATCCCGATGTCTGTTTAACAAATGTGAAATGTTAGACATAAAATGAAAGCCATGTCATGCATGCGGCTACACTCGTGCAGTCTACAGTCACAACTGAGTCCCAATCCCAATCCCAGTCCCAATTCAAGGTTCTCTTTCAGTTCGACTCGAGACTTTAGTCCCTTGTGCGTATCACATTGTTTCAACAGCTCCGCCTGCTTCCGATTCAACTGAAAAGCTGATTGTTTTCAAAGCTAATCGCATTGATAAGCATTCGAGCATTGACTTCGATTGTAAGCAGTTACCCTTTGTCTGCTTGCCGAATGATTAGCCAGCGATAGCCGAGTCCCAATGTTTATTGATGAGAATTAACTAGCCTTGCTTACAAATTGATTGTTGACAGTTCGATTGTAACTATTCTCTGATTGAGAGCCACTTTGATTGAAACTTATTGATTAGCTTGTTAACAGCTTGAAAAGAGCTAAACTAACAGGAGTTGGTGTTAGCTGAGTGCTTGATGGGTCTTACTGATAGATTGATTGATTGAATGGCATTGATTGAGAGGCAGTTTGATTGATGACGAACTTACTGATTGATTAACAGTTTGAAAATAGCTAAATTATGCCAGTCTCTGTTAATAGGAGTAGCTGTTTGGTGAGCGATTGATTGGCATGATGTATTGATTGAGGGGCATTTTGATTGATTACAAATTTAGTGATAAGCTTATGAACAGCTTGAAAATAACTGAATTAGGCTAGTCTCTGTTGAAAAGTTTAGGTGATTGGTGAGTGATTGATTGGCTGAGTGATTGGTGAATGATTGATTGATTGCTAGATGTATGTACCAATACATTTCTTGTGTCATGGCTTCGGTGCATAACTCTTTGCAGCTATTCTAGAAATGTATTACGTGAAGCATCTGGCATGATGTATTGATTGAGAAGCATTTTGATTGATTGTAAATTTATTTATTAGCTTATTAACAGCATGAGAGTAGCTGGGCTCAGGTAAATACAGCTTATTATGTTGCAACAAAAGTAATTGATAATCAATCATGATCAATCTATCATGATTGATTGCTTGGTTTACTAACATATTACTTAAGCTTAAAGCGCAACTGCATTAGGTGTCATCTGAGTGCTGATTGATTGCTATCTTTATCAGTGTAAAACATATAAAATGATTCTGATTGCTGCGTTACGCTAATTAAGATTCATAATGCCGGTTGATGATCGATTCAAAAAAAAAAATAATAGCTTTAAGCCTAATTACGGTTAAATGTGGTTTTTCTATCACATAATTAAATTGAGGCTTGATTGATTAATGATATCAATCAAATGCAGTCAATTAATAATTAAGCGCTTTTATGCGCATTTGCTCAGTCTATGTGGAGGTTAGTTCAATTGCGCATTAATTAAACGTGCCACATCAGTTTATGAGCTGCCCGCACACACGCACACACGCACACACACACATAGTAGTAAGTGTATAAAGATAATGACTCAAAGCTGCTGTTACGCTGGGCATCCTTCGATATCCGCACCTTGGGGCATTCTTTAATTGAAGCAAATTGCATAGGCATGTGTGCGTGTGTGTGCGTGTGTGTGTGTGTGTGCGTGTGTGTGCGTGTGTGTGTTAGCTATAATATTCATGCCATTGGGCAATATTAAAGCATAATAAAGACTTGAGACGTGTTGTGTGGCTGGCTTCTTGTGTGTTGTGCGTGTGCCTGTGCCTGTGTGTGTGTGTGTGAGTGTGTTCGCTTGTTTGTTGATGGCCTGAGTGTTATGTAATCAAGAACAGGACAAACTTTAATGTTGACCATCTAAATTAATATCAGCTTTAATTTAATCATTTGTAAACGCTTTTTGCCACAGGCGACGACAGCAGCAGCAACAACAAAGAGCAGCAGCTACTTGTAACTAAAGTGACATGAGGCCTTAGCAACAACAGCAACAACAGCAGCAGCAGCAGCAGCAACAACCACAACAACTCTAGAGCACTAAAAACCCCAAATTGCAAGCAATTAAAAAAACAAGCACAACGAAGGATAGAACAGGCCAGGCTCGAACCCCGAAAAGGCAGCATCCGAGGCACGCCCACGCACACAGCCAACAATAATAACCAAAAACAACAACAACAACAACAGTCAAACAATGCCAGCAACTTTTATAGGCAACTAAAAACTGAACAGCGGCTGAACACAACAAACAATAAACAACAAACAAACACAACACACACCAGCTCTACACCACCCACTGGCCGCCACGCCCCCTGCGTCTCCATCTTCAGAAGCGACAACAACTACAGCCAAAGCACAAAGCAGCGATAACAAAAAATATATAAAAAAAAACAAAACAAAAACAAAAGCAACAAAAAAGTGCGCATTGTTTTTCTTATTGTCATTCAACGGTCGCACCACCTAAGTGTCTCCCTGTGTGTGTGTGTGTGTGTGTGTGTGTGGCAGTGGTGTCAACCGCGTTGTTGTTGTTGTCAGCCATCCAACGCCTTTGGGCACTCAATTAAGCCCAATTCAAGGCAGACGCCACACAACACACGCAAGTTGAAAGCGACAGCTTCCCACGCCGACGCCGACGCCGACGCCAACGCCCACGCCCACAGCTACACCGCCCACATTTACGCCCAGAAGCGAAGGAGCATAAGTTTGCGCTTGAAGGAGGTGCACGGTGGTGCCCGGTGGTAACCGGTGGTGCCCGTCGGTGCTTACGGCCATTGCCAATTGAGTTAATGTGACAATGAAACTGAGCGTCAGCGCGTATCGGGCGCATGCATCCGCACACAAGAAGATCCTCTCCAGCGGCTATCACTCGCAGCTCAACTACGGCAGCACTGGAGCCGCCGCAGCATCCTCCTCCTCATCGTCGGCAGCAGCGGCGGCCACTGCAACGGGCCTATATACGGTAAGCACAAACAAAATCATAAAAGACAACCAAATGAGACAGGAGTGAGAGCCAGCAACGACTTAGAGATATCCTAGCACTGGAATTATTATAATTAAATAGCAAGATCATAAAGAAAACCAAATAGGCTTCAGCAACGGAGTGTAGGAATAGCCTGTACATATAGCCGACTGGTAGATACCCTGTATTTAGCAACTAGTTGACAATTGATGCTCTAGCAATTTAAGGAAAATCCCTTCAAAAGTTTATGCCATTTTCCATTTCTTCTAAAACTCTCTTAAAAGTTAAGTAATTGAGCTCTTTGAAAACTGCTGTGCAGAGAGAAATGGCTGGGATTATGGTTCGTCTCAGCTGTTTGCTTTTAAGTTGGGGTTCATGATTTTTTCTGGCAAAAAGTTCAGTTCAGTTTCAGGTAGTAGAAAAGCAAACGAGGCTACTTTTAGCCAACTCCGAAGCACAAGAACAAGAACTTTTATCATTCATAAGGAAACATTCTCTATGTCTATATCTCTATATAATAAGATGCATTTGCTGTCTCCTCAGTCGATCTCATTACGCCTGTTACATGCTGTGGCCCTAGTCGCACATGCCCAACCTCTGGCCAATTGAGCTCAATTGATGCGTGCCATAATATAAAATGAAAGCATACAAATTTTTGTGGTCCATAATTTTATTTAATGTACATATTTTGTGCGCCTGTCATTGGGTGGCGGGAGAGGCGTGGCATGCCCGGGTCACCTACCCATGGGTCTATTGTGCGTCTAGTTTTCGACATCAGTCAAGGGCATGGAGAAGCGACACGCGAGCAGCCCAGGCTAGCTGGAGTTAAATATTTGCCAGAAAATGTGCAAATATTTATGCCAATTCACAAACAAAAATTGTTTATTGGTTTCATAGAATTTGGATGCCTGTAGTGCTGCTTCAAGCTGCTCTCAAGTTCAGTTGAGAAAGTGAAGCCTAAACTTTGTTTGCTCATCTAGGTAAAGTTTTCCCGGCCTTGGCCTTTTGTTGACGCTGCTTAGCTTTGCCGCTTTCTTGCCCTGCGTCTAGTTCAACAACTTTGTTTAATTTTTGCGCATTATCTCACTTTCCCCTTTCTTGCTGCTATTCAAGGTTTCTTGCTGCACTGCTGTGAGCTGCTTAGTTCTCAAATCGCTTCTCTCTTCTGTAATAGTTTTGTTGTTCGCTTAACACGATACTCTGCCTCTCACTCATATTTCATTTTCTTTCCTGTCTTCCTGCAAGTTTTCCTCATTTGCTGTCTACTTGGCTTCTCGCTTAACTTCTTTTCTTTTACATTTTTGCTCTTGTTTTGTGCTGTTGGGCAGGGTATTTGCTATTCGTAGTAAAAGTGTTTATTGGTTTCCGTCGAAGGTTACATTGTATGTGGATTGGGGTTACGTTTAATAAAAAATGTTTACGAATCGCTGACAGGCAGCCAAGCTATGAAGCCATGCTGCTAGTTTGCTTCTCTCTTATTTTTTTTTTTTTGGTTTATGATACAGGATATTGACGGATATTGCTCGTAATCCTGGTAGTATACGACAGTTGCGGGCATCTCCTCGCATAATTAAATCAGGCAGAGAGAGAGAGAGAGAGCGAGCGCGAGCCTGGATGACTTTAGTTTTTAAACACTCCAAACTTGAGCCCATAAATATTTATGGAATTGACGCTGTGCACATTTTACAGCTGCCCCAAAGCCAAAAGCCACAGCGAATTTCAATCAAGTTCTGCGGTATATTTAATTGCCCTGTCCCAAAACTTCCCAGCCCACAACCGCTAACATGTTGGCGCCTGCCCCTGCTCCTGCTCCAGCTCCAGCTCCAGCTCCTTCTCCTTCCCTCTCTCTCTCTCTCTCTCCAACAGGCAGCAGTCACAAGTGGAGCTTAGGCCGCAGAGCGAAGATTTGCGCTGCCAGCTAATTGGACAGGCCAAATCCAATCCCAATGCTGGATATGTTATGCGGCTTTGCTCCATTAAAGCACACACACTTCCACAATTTCGCCATTTATAATTTACAATGTACAGCATCTTCGCCGCTGCATTTCATTGGTTTGGCAATTAGGAAGACAACTTAGTTGTTCGCTTCTCACTTCCAGTGCCTGAAGCCACATGGAAAGTTTATAAAATTGTTTTGCGGAATGTTTTGATAAATGTGTTTTCTAATGTCTTGCATAAATTAAGACTTATTGTTGGAACGTTTGAAACTGAAATGAAACTTTCAGCATTGAATACTGTACGTCTCTGGCATGGAACAGCCGAGAGAGGGCAAAGACTTGTCTCGCTTTTATCTACCGTTGGTGTCTATAAGGACCAATGTAAACTTTCTATGTATTGGAGCTGAAATATATTTAAGAACTCTCTTATGAACTCTCCCCTAGTTAAAGACTGCCAAATAAATGTGTATTTGTCTTGGAACAAATAGAAATTAATTTTTCTCTCTTCCAAAAGTACCAAATAAATGGGAACATATGGAATAGAACTTTCCTTCAGTTAAAGAATGCAAAATTAATGTATATTTAGTTAGGAACATATGGAATCGAACACTTCTTCTGTTCAAAGGTGCCAAATATATGTATATAATTGTTTAGGAACATATGGAATTTAACTCTCCTCTAGTTGCTTAGGAACATATGGAACTGAACTCATCTTTTAGTTCGAAACATACCAAATTGAAAGTATTAAAGCCTGGGAACATATGGAATCGAACTGTTCTCTAATTAAAGAAAGCCAAATAAATAGATATTTATTTTGGAACAAATGAAAGTGAACTTTTTCTAGTCCAAAAGTGCCAAATAAATGGGGATATATGAAATTGAACACTTCTGTATATAAGGAGTGCCAAACAAATGTATAATTGTCTGGGAACATATGGAATCGAACACTCCCCTAGCTCAAAGAGTGCCGTATAATTGCTTACAGTTGCTTAGGAACATATGGAAGTGAAATCTTCTTTATGCAGATCTCTGATTGGCTTCGTGGAATTATGCTAAAAGTTCTCCTGATTTCTTAATTCTGAAATTAAAAGTTCTTTTCAACTTTCTCTTGTTGCAATTGTCTACGTCTAAGGATTAAGAGATGCTTACAAATTTAGCGAGAAATTAATCTGCTTTACAGAGTTCTTATGCTCGTTCTCTATGTGAATAGAGTATATTGGTTTTGCGCAATGAACGAAGCTGGCGACTTTGAATTGGGAATGTTGAATCCTGTAGATAGATGTAGCATAAAGAAATGTAAATATCTGAGATTGCTAAGTCTTTAGAGTCGTTTAAGCCTTCTTCACAAATAATATGAAGACAGACTCCATAAGTATTATGCAGTCGGCTACACTCTAACATTCCTACCTGCTGTTTTTTTTATTTAATGAATTATTTTGGGCATCGTCTTGCTTGTCAGGCAGTCGAAGAGTGTTAAGTACAAGGAAGGCTAATGATATTTTATTTGATTATTTCTTGGCCTCCCTTTTCGCCCCTTTCATTTATATATATATATATATATATATATATATATATATCTTTATATATATATATTTTCATATATCTTTCGCAATTTAGAACTTTTGGAATGCCGTTTGATTGGCTATAACCATGGGCAACAGAGCGCTCAAGTTAAATTCCTGGCGACTCGAGTCGCCCCACCTGGCCAACGCCCTTTGCTCTGTTTGGCCCTTGCCACGCTCGACTCGATTCTCGGCTTGTTATTTGATGTAAAAGTTTTTAATACCTTCGCCTGTGTGCCGGGAGTAATCAAAATTTAATTTTAATTATGCGCCAGTGTCAGGTCGGAGCATGGGCATGGGCATGGGTCGGAGAGTATTGGGCGCCTAAAGTATGATTATTTAATGTGCGCATAGTTAACGCATTGGAAGTGGCCTAAACGAGCCCTTGAGGAAGTGAATTGAAGACAAATTGTTTGCATTAGCCACTGGCCCGGTTTTAATTAGTTATAATTATTTTTCACTCAGATGGAAACGCACGAGCATGGCGGCAAGTTTGCAAAGGATATGGCCAGATTCGATTGCAATAGCGACACGGACGTCATCAGCCCCACGGGCACGAGTAGCTCCGGCGGAGGAGGCGGCGGAGGTAGCAGCAATGCCCCGGCGGAAGGCACCCATCACAAGCGCCATCACAAGAGCAGCGGCGGCGCCTCGGCAGCAGCGGCTGCTAAATTGGCCAACGATGATGACAATAACAGTGCGGCGCATTCATCGGATAGCAAGAGTCCCAGTCAGCGGTAAGTTAAGGCCACGCTCTCACGCATACTTACATACACAACAACAACAACACACACACACACACGCCATCACACACATACACAAACGCCCCACATGTACATACATGTGTATAAATTGTAACTTTTGTAAAGTGACAAGTTAAAAGCTTCACAAATAATAACAACGACAGCCAGCAATAACAAATTGAAAGCAGTAAAGCCAAAAGCTTTTAAGTATGCCGTACTAGAAATACCCTAGCAGTGACAGAACAGCCACGCCCAGTGCTCGAAGCATCTGCAGATGAATCAAGCTAATATTTCGGCTGCCCAGAAACATTTTCTTTCCATTTCTTTTATAACTCATTACTTGCCCGCTTAATGCTGAGCAAGATGAAGACATCAGCCCACAGATTGGCAGACGCAATAAACTTGCTATAAACTACTATAGCTTATGCCATGCATATGCATAAGAACCCACTGACGAGTGGAACGAGCTATTCAAAGTAATTCGTGAGATAAAACACATAATTGAATTGCGCCTCGAACGTGCACTACACACATGACCATAAATGTATACGAGGCAGTGTACACACTCATTCACACTTACACACACAAACACACAAACACACACTCACTCACTCACACGTATAACAGTAAGCGCATAATTGATTGCTAGCAGTAAAAAACAAAAAAAAAACGAAATTCAAAGCTAACAATAAAATCGTAGCATACTTTGTTGGGCTTCGCAGCTGCTTTTGATTTATCATTTTTATTGATACTCGCAGTTGATGCCGCGTATTGATATATTGACATACACACACACACACAGCCCTATTTGTACTACTATTTACACGCACACACACACACATGCATACACATGTTTCTTTTTTAAGTTTCCCTCGCCACTTTTGATTTTTTGCCACGCATTCAACTCGTATTTGCCATCGAAAAACAATTATTTGTACATATATAAAAATTAATAAATGTGTTGGGGCCGAAAGGGGGAAAAAGGGGCCATCAGCTGTGAATGAATCTGTTATCAAGTGGTTAAGTCAACAGCAATTAGCAGCCATTTGGTTGTCACTGCCTGTGTGGGGCAGGCGCTCGAGGTGGGCGGGCGTCGATGCTAATGGCAAATTAAACAAGCCGCCGAGTGTTTTATTGACGAGCTCGTAGAGCCAAGAGTGACTGCATTAGCTGGATTGAGTGTGATCAGAAAGTGCATTTAGTTAAGGTCAACTTCACAATAATAATAACAGCAATAATTATGTCGAACCTAATTTAGAATGGCATTAGCTTATTAAGCCTAATGGGATTTCATTTGGCATACTTAAGGAGGGGCGATGCACTCAGCCCCTAATACTTTCTCAGTCTCAGCTGTAATTTATATAGTTATATATTGCAATGGAAAATTGAGTTAAAGCCTGGCATAGTCTGCTAATAAGAGATAAGACAGCTTACACATCAATGAGAATTCACTACTTAGAGAGCTACAGAACAGGAATTAAACGTCAATTAGAAAGAGTAGGCAATAGGCAATGCACATTGTCAATGAATTCCCAGTGGACAATGACAATGACAATGACAATGACAATGACAATGACAATGACAATGACAATGACAATGACAATGACAATGACAATGACAATGACAATGACAATGACAATGACAATGACAATGACAATGACAATGACAATGACAATGACAATGACAATGACAATGACAATGACAATGACAATGACAATGACAATGACAATGACAATGACAATGACAATGACAATGACAATGACAATGACAATGACAATGACAATGACAATGACAATGACAATGACAATGACAATGACAATGACAATGACAATGACAATGACAATGACAATGACAATGACAATGACAATGACAATGACAATGACAATGACAATGACAATGACAATGACAATGACAATGACAATGACAATGACAATGACAATGACAATGACAATGACAATGACAATGACAATGACAATGACAATGACAATGACAATGACAATGACAATGCAATGACAATGACAATGACAATGACAATGACAATGACAATGACAATGACAATGACAATGACAATGACAATGACAATGACAATGACAATGACAATGACAATGACAATGACAATGACAATGACAATGACAATGACAATGACAATCACAATGACAATGACAATGACAATGACAATGACAATGACAATGACAATGACAATGACAATGACAATGACAATGACAATGACAATGACAATGACAATCACAATGACAATGACAATGACAATGACAATGACAATGACAATGACAATGACAATGACAATGATAATGACAATGACAATGACAATGACAATGACAATGACAATGACAATGACAATGACAATGACAATGACAATGACAATGACAATGACAATGACAATGACAATGACAATGACAATGACAATGACAATGACAATGACAATGACAATGACAATGACAATGACAATGACAATGACAATGACAATGACAATGACAATGACAGTGACAATGACAATAACAATGACAATGACAATGACAATGACAATGACAATGACTATGACAATGACAATGACAATGACAATGACAATGACAATGACAATGACATTCATTATGAGCCTGGTTTCCGACTGGCAGGGCCAACATCTTCTGTAAAAAGCCTTCTAAATTGAAGATGTCATGCGCAAGACCGCCAGCAGCATCCAGACAAGGGGCATGGCAATAAGAATGCAGGTTAATAGCACGAAAATGATTCCCCATATGCCCATTGTTCGGTGGAACCAGCTAACGCGAGGAGAGAGTGCTCTCTGATTTGTAGTGGACATAAAGGAAATTAACTAATAAAGGCAATTAGCTGGAACCGACTGTGTCCGTGTGTGTGTGCGGGGTGAGATTTTGCTCAGTTTGTTTAGTGATTTTATGTATTAAGCTCGTAGCCCTGGAGACCCATTTGCCAGTTACGATTAGTTGGTTGACAACTCGGGTTCTCTCTCTTGCCCGGAGCCCGGTATTTGGCGGCAATTGCGGGCAGCTTTACGTGGTATCCGCACCAAATCCGTGCCAATGCCAAGCCAAATGGGCTTTAGTTAAGTGAATTATGTCATGGCTGTTGGCCAAAACTTGTAAGCCACTTGTGCATGTGTGTGTGCGTGTGAAGCGCAGTTTTGGGTTATTGCCTGGGATTGGAAATGTATTTGGTATTGGCAATGGGATTGGGACTGGGGCGTTGTTATTGCAGCGATACGTGAATACGTGAACTCGCATGCACACAAATCCCCAACCACACCTGAACAACAAACTGAATGCGAAGACCATCAATTCGGCGCACCGAAGCATGCATACCCTTGCAGACTGATGTAATATATATATAGATAAATATATATATATATGATTTGATGTGTTAAAGTATTGCGATACGTCCGTTTGACCCTTCAGCAAATACCCTGCAGATATCTGTTTTTGTGGCTATGTTTTGTGGTTTTGTGTTAGGAAATAAACCTAAATTTGTATTTTTATTTTATTAAGTTATATATATATATATATATATATATATATATATATTGTGTACATAATGTGAATATATATAAAATGGAAGATGCATAAGTTAGCACTGCCTATGCAGAGTGTTTGTTTGTCTATGGCCATTGTATGATATGGATTAAGAAAAGAGCTCAAGTCTGATTGCAAGACCGACAGACTGACAGACTGACAGACTGACAGGTTGACAGTAGGAGCTAAAGAGCCAACATTTCATTGAAATTCACGCTTGCCTTTTGTGTAAAATTGAAGTATTTTGCTTTCACTTAGATCTAAGTCGGTTGCGACGCATGCTGCCTGCTTGATCTTAGCTTACGGTAGAGTTCAGACTGCAAGGGTATTCACTGTACCACATATAGAGACGTAAACTTTGATTTGTGCATATATTTTGTTGGTATATAACCTAAAATTTTACCCATTGGAAGATCGGCCAATTCACCGCTGACCAGTGCGCAGAGCAATTGCCGTTGCACAAATAGTTTAAGAATGTACACAGAGAGGGATAGACTTATATTAACGTCAGAGCAGCAACAGCAGCAGCAGCAGCAGCAGCAGCACATGGACTCGTTGCATCATGGACAACATCCGCGCCAGCGTCGGCAGGTGCGATTGCATCTGAATAGTCCATCCTCCGATGGCAGCTGCTATTCGCTGGCCATGGCTGGTTGCGGACAGGGCGTGGCTGGGGGCAGCCGCACGCAGGTGAAGACGCTCTCGTCGTTCATCAGCGAGCATCCCGAGGAGCTGGTTAGCAATCACAGCAACAGCAGCAACAACCACAACAAAAATGGCGGCAATCCCAGCAACCAGACAACCAAATGGAAGAGCCTCCGGGCCGTCATGGCATACTATTGCTCATTGCGGCGTATTAAGAGGAACGGTGCTTTTACAGCTTTTACATACAGTACAAGAACCCAACTAACTAAGCTAAACTCAAACTAATCTAACTAATCAAGCAACTATCTAACGTTATGTACTACTACTACTACTACTACTACTGCCTTGCATTTTGTGTGTATGTGTGTCCGTACGTGTGTACGCCTGTCTGTCTGTATGTGTGAGCGTATAATAAAAAATAATAAACCTCTCAAATTTCCCCAATACCATACCGTACCGCAACCCAATCCAACATCCGTGTTATGATATACCAAAATCTCAAGAAATAACCAAACTCACTCTCTCTCATTATCTCTCTCTCTCTCTTCTGATCTATATACTAACCCATTAGCAAAGATCAAATCAGTTTTGTAGTCTATGTGTTCTGTACAACTATCTCGCTCGCTCTCTGTCTCTCTCTTTTCCCGTCACATTTACACTAACTCCCTCCATCTCTTTCTCATTATCCTAGTCGAATACCCTATATATATATATGTATATGCCCTATACATATATATTTATATTTATATATGTGTGTGTATGTGTTACAGATATATAAACTCTTCTGTATTCTCACACATAATTATATTATAACTTTGACGGTGTCTAATATAAATTGTTGTATTAATCGTGTGCCATACAATGCTCCTCTCTCTCTCTCTCACTCTCTTTGTGTCTCTTTTGCTCTGTGTGTTAAGCTCTCATTCTTCTACTCCTCTCTTTAACATACTCATATAACACTCGCTCGCTCGCTCGCTCACTTATAAGCTAGCTCGGCCGCTCTCTTTATCATTAAGGTATGGCTATGCTTTAGTGTATGTGTTATGGCTACACCGGGTGATGTAGGTATATTCTCTTATACTAGGCATATCACTCTTATACTACTCTAATACAAAGTTCACTCAACTTGTCCCTCTTCTGTTTCCTAATTTCTGCCCTCTTTACAGCTTTTACTATACTTTAAGTTTTAAGAAATGGGTCCAGTCTACGATCTGCGAGTCTTCCAGGCTCTGGGAGATCCAGCTTAAAATATATGTGTTAAATATTCTTGGCTTACTCTTATGTGGGATTTAATCGCTCTCTCTCTCTCTCGCTCGGCTCAAGTTGTTTGTACAGCAGCGAGAGTTTTCGTTCTTGACAATTGATTTATTCTGGAACACACTCATTATGCGGCTGTTAAGGCCAGGCACAGGGTGTCTTTGCATATGATCAATACAGGGTGCATACGCAAACTTCAACTATTATTATCTCTATCTCTCTCTTTCTCTCTCGTTCTGTGTTCGCTTCTCTCTTTGTCTAATTTGTAAGCAAATGCAACCCTGTGTGCGGCTACAGGGTGTTTGCACAGGGTGCTCGCCAGCATTGTTTACATGTAGCTGTCGCTGGCTTCATTGCGACTGCTTATTCCCACTTGCCGCGCATATTACGTCTTATTCACTTGGGCTTTGTGCTAGTTTTTGGCAAAAAGTTTATCAAGCTGAGGGCAAAGTGCAACACACACACACACATAGACACACAACTTTGACCAAAAGAAGAATAAAAAAATCTGAGCAAACAGCAAAAGTTAAAGTGGCTTTTGAGTGTATGTGAATAGACAGAGAAAAGGGGAGCGAGGAGTGGAGGGAGGGGGAGCGCGGGAGAATCAATATGTTTAAGCTGCCTGCTGCACTGTAGGCGAACTTTTGACACAAATACACACCCAGACACACGCTCGCCGTTAGCTGCGCCTATGCATATGCTGCAATACTCTAGCATTGTGCATGCCAAATGAGAAATTGCCTTCTGAATGACAACTTACAAAGAATTTGAATTTAGAAAATTGCAAATTTATGTAGAAACTACCAACCCCCAATCCGCAACCCGCAACACACATACACACACACACATGCACAGCTTAACTGTGAAACTGTCAAATGACCCAGATATGTATATGCAGCATATTCTCCGCCTCCGACTGTCCTGCTATGAACTTTGCCTCCTGCCAAAAGAGCTGTGGGGCCGCATGCATATGCATGGCCTGGTCTCACGCTCTCGATGTTGCTCTCTCACTCGCTCTCTGTATCTCTTCGTCACGCCGTGGCTTGTGCTATGCATTTTCAAGTGTCTTTAGACAGTCACAATCGAAATTCAGTGTTCGATCTGATTGCCGCAGTGCGATTGTGCTTTAATTCAGTGCCACTTCAGCTGCCACTTATACACGCACACACACACACACAGAGGCAGCGCTGGCAGCCATTTGACATTTGTTGCATAGGCGTCATTTGTGTCAAGTGACAAGAGCAGAGACACTGTTCATAGAAGTCATGTTCGATCAGTTGCCGATTGGCGCCATCTATTGGCTGTCCGCTGCAGCCAACTCTTATATTTGCATGATAAACTGGCATAAATTAACTCTCAACAGGTGGCGCCACCTGTTTGAATAGCTCTAATATGTGTAAAAACTTCTTTAATTTGTTTATCAAAGGTCATTCAAAGCAAGAGCAAGACCTTTTCACGAAATACGCTTTCAACACGAGCTCGAGCAGCTGTGAAATGAGCAGCCAAGCTGGAAGTAAATGAATATCACAAAAACAAAAGCAAAAAGAAAGGTTAAAATCCTAGTTGAAAGCAAAGTAAAAGCCATGCAATAAGCAGGCTAAGGTCTCCAGCGAGGCGCGTTGCAATTTCTTAACTAGTAAATCACAAAATAAGTTAGAGCCACAGAAAACTTAAAAGAGCTGCGCACGAAGCAAACTAATATGCAAAGAAAAGTTGCGGAAACGGGGGCGACAAAGCCAGGCGAAGCCAAGCGTGATGCCAAGCCCGAAACAAAGATTTTCGCGTTGTGTTTTCCTTCCAGCTTTTTTTTTCAGTTCATTCCATTTTTTTTTCAGTTCTCAACTAAGCAAATCAAACAAGTAAGCGTGCTCTAGCCGAGTCGCCATTCCAATTATTCTACTCTTCGCATTTCTAGCCCACCAAATTTTATGAAAACAAACGATTTTCGCCGTATGAATTCATCCATCTCATTTAGCATGGATCTAAATTTCATCATAAATTTCAATTGAGACTTCAGAATAATTTTCTTTAAGATGTGAATCTTTGAAAAAGTTCAACAATAAATTGTAAAAAGTTTAAGCTGTAAGCTAGGGTTACTTAATCATTTAGCATAAAAACTAAAGTTAAAAAATCATAATTTATAGAAATTCATAATAAGTCTGAAAGCTGTGAGTGTTTTATGCCCTGATTGAATTGAGTTGTAGAAAGGCTTGCTGAATATGTATGTCAGGGGCAGAAGTGGGCGTGGCAGACAGCATAAATTGAGCGATCAAGTCATGTCCGTCTGTTAGTCTATATGTTCGATTTCTGTATCACACGCACTCTATCTCTATTTATCGATAATAATCGATCTACTGTTTAGACTTAGCAGCTCTGTGCAGGGGTCAGAGTATCTGCTGGTCAGGCACTGCCGACTGAAGCACTCCTAAGTAAGTTTTCCTAGCGATTTGTGATCGCCAGCATTATGTATTCGGCGTTCTGCACTCGAACATGTTTCACACTTTTAATATTCGCTGGACACACTTGAAGTCACTTCATTTGGGAGGCTCTTTAAGGCAGCGGAAATTGAATTCAACTGAGACAACAAACAGCAAACGTGGTGCTCATTTGTCTGGCTGTTGTTCGCTGGATGCCTGGGCCAATTAATATAGGCACGGCTGGCTACAATGGCGGCCGGAATGACTGTCCAGTTGGATGCTAGCAGGGTCAAGTGGCCAAAATGGAAAGAAAACGAAGCAAACGCAGCAAACGCCGCGGCACGCAGAGCGTGCTTCAACATATTCGTTGGCCAAATTTGCTTTTTGGCCATGTCATGCCGTGACAGTGGCAAAGTGGCTGCCAATGGCCAATGGCCAATGGCGAATGGCCAGCCGGTCACATGTGGTGCAATCCGCTGGGAGAGGCCTGTGTAGTGCCGAAAGCGTTAATTGAAATCGGCTGGAGCTGAGGCAACAGGCAAACCAAACAAACAGCTAACAGTCAAAGCCGACATCAGGCAGCCATTAAGCAATTTGTATGTGTGTGTGTGTGCCCTGATGATTTGTGGTGCAATAAAACGTGGCATTTAATAGGTGGAGCAGCCACAAAGCTTAAAACTTTAGCCTCGGCATTAGCTTTTTGTGTGCAGGGCCCGGCAAAAACTAACAAGCTCCATTTCAATTTATTATAAATCGAAAGTCCAGCTCCGTGTGTGTGTGTGTGTGTGCGTGTGCATGTGTGTGTGGGTATGCGTAATCTTATCGTACAGCAAGCCTTTTTTACGCTTGATGGCACGCAGCCCGCATGTGGGCCAGAAGCAAAAAGTAAAAGACCAAAATAAGAACAGGCCAAAAGCCAAGTCAACGAGCTGACCGTTAAATGAATTGCCTGCCTGCCTGTGCACTCCCCTCTGCCTAACTCCCTATCTAGCTGAGGCTCTGCTGGCTATAACAATAGTGAAAGCAAATGCGTGAAAATGCTCCCAAGAGTCATGTTGCAATAAAACGAACGAAAAGTCAACAAAGGAAACGAAACGAAATTCCTTTGTGCACCGCACTCTGAGTACCCTGAATACAGCTCGATTAAGCCATTCTTGTTTCATTAATTAAAACATCGAGTTGAACGCCAGAAATGCTTCATTATAATTTCTGGCCCAAGCCTGACCTTAGCATAGAATATATATCTTATATATAGCTGCTAGCATATCTGCCTCATGTTAGATAAGCGGTCGGAGCGACTGCATGAATCTAGCCACTCGACTTGATGGCTGACAGCTACTCTACTTTATGTGAATAGTAAAAATAATGGCTAAGTTGTGCCTAAAAAAGCAAAAGTTAACTCTTTTGTGTGGGCCAACGAGCTTAAATTTCTGGTTAATGAAAGTCATAGGAAGGAAACGTGAAAGGAAAATGGTTTTAAAAATTTATATTTTTGCGATGCGTTCATCTCGGAAATGTTCAGCTTGCCTGAAATCTATCTAGCATAGTTCAGTGTTGCAAAACGCCGGTTAAATTTGTGTCGCCTGCGCAACTGTTAATGTGGCAATAAACAGATTTCGCTCTTTCGCGTTCTGTGCCTGTAAGTCGAAAGCACTTTGCAGTGTTGTAAAAGGTCACAAGTGCTTGCGCTCTTGACCTCTGACAAAAGCTGTCTGCAATCGAATGAATTCTATCTTTTAGCTGTCCAAAACTATCTCTCTCTACTCTCTCTCTGTCTCTCTCTGTCTCTATCTCTGTCTCTCTATCATCATTCTACATATAACATACAACTTATTCTTTACGTCTTTTAACAACAATCGATCAATCAATTAAACAATCAAAAACCAATAACAACAATCGAAATGTTTTGCACAAAACAACAAATATTGAAATGAAACAAAAAACCAAAAAATTTCGCAACTCGTTTAGGAAATCGCGTATCGGAGATGGAGCTTCAGATCCAGATTCCGATTGGTAAGTCTTTTGCGTTTGTTACCAACTTTTGGTTAACTCTCACGCTCTGCACAACAACTACAACAAGAACAACTAGAAAATACACACACACACACACACACACACGCATACACGCACACACATAGCGATACAAATTTAGCTACGCTTTTTGATTATGTTGCAAAAATTGATTTTGGATAGTGATAATAATATTATATTTGATAGTATTGATATTGCGAATGACGATAATTGATCGTGATTGATGATGACTGAGATGCATCTAATTGGCATGCGAAGCGCTTCATTTTTCAATTGCGTTTGGGCCACAGCAAGGCAAACGAAAACAGTTTAAACAAACACTCGCCACACTCTACTCGACTTTTATCTGCTTTTTTCTTTCGTTTTTCTTTCTTTTCTTGGTGGGCTAAGCAGCGAGCCGAACCCAAATCACAATCACCCACACCCACACACCCACACACCCACAGATCCACACACCCACACGCACACTCTCACACACTTTTGGTAATCCAATAGTTCACAAATAAACGAGTAGTTGCCATTTGCCAAATGCTTCTTAATGCAACCACCCAAGAATTTGGCAGCACTCTCACACACATACACACACACACACACACACAGCGACACGTGTATAAAGAACATGCCACGCCTAGCTCTTGTTTTTCTTTCTTTCCTTTTTTTGTTTGGTTTGGTTTCTCTTACTCTTAGCTAGCCGCATTGCAAGCTGCTTTCTGCTTATGATCCACATGACGTATGCGTAATATTAGGTAGCATCGAAAATACTAAAAATAAAATACTAAGAAAACGCTGTAAATAGCACCGAATCTAAAATAATAATAAAAAAACCAAAAATAATGCAAATAATTTTGCTAAGTAAAACCAATAAAAATTTTGTAGTTTGACCTTTAAATTGTATATACGAAAAATACAGAAAAAATAATAAAATAAAAAAAATACTAAATTTATGTGTGTGCGTGTGTGTGTGCAAATGCTAAAAAAATTGCTTTGTCTGTGTGCGAGCTAATTTGGTGTCTCACAAAAAATAAGAGAAATATATATAACAGAAGCAGAATCATTTGTACATAAATAAGCATTATAAAATACCAAATAAAATACCACACCATATATATTCCAAAATACTTGTATATTAAAACACATACCGTTTGTATATAATGCCGTTACTCAGCCTCATAGCCAGGCAGCTTCTACATAGACCTATCCTGGCCACAAGCGATTCGAGCAAAATGAACAAAAAAAACTGAATCCCAACAACAAGAACAACATTAACCAGAAATACTTGAAATGCCTATCCAATTCCGATACCAATTCCGATACCAATTCCGATTCCGATTCCGATGCCGATTCCAGCTTCCCAAAAGTATTCCAAATGCCAGCACCGCATTCCCAGCAGCATTCCAATTGCACTCGTAGTCGTGTAGTAGCCGCACTCGAATGCCCTGTAGCCAGTTCTAGAGTGTTTACCACCTATCGAGTTGTCCGATGCTTGAGATGCTTAAAGCTATTGATTCATTGTGCCACTCATGCCCCAGTCTCCAGTTTGAGTCAATCAACGCTCTAGTCTAAGACTCACGGCTCAAACAAAGTTATCAACGAACGAACTGGTTACAGCGTATTTGCTAGTCGTTCATGCTCGACTATTGCACTCATTGCTCTTACACTGATTTCCTTTCAGTTTTCCATTTATTCTGTGCACTTACAATATTATTATTTGTTTTAGTTGTTTGACAGAGCTTTTAGCATTTGCTGCTGGCTTCAAAAAAATTATTTTTTGTCTGCTTTGTTCCGAAAAATCCTCAAAAAAGAAAAGAGAAAAACGCCCAAGCCCCAATTTCAGAGTTTATGGAAATTGTTTTCTATGCCCAAAAAAAACCTGAAATGAAATGAAATGAAACTCAAATTGAAGCTACGAAATTGGCAAAATTGCAGTTGTAACCGAACCAGAGCGAAGCGAACTTGGGTCTGTTTCCTTTGGCCAACTGTTGTGGAATTTGAATTTAATTTTCCGCCCACTTGTTTTTCATTTTCCTCTTTTAGACACACTCATTTCTCAATTGTTTCCACTGCATGTTTATCAAGCTTGCCCCGTAAACGCTTGCAGCTTGCACAACTATCTATCCATCCATCCATCTGTGTCTATACGTAAATAGAAACTGTGCTTACATCTCTAATATACTAATACTACTACTACTACTCCTAGTACTACTCCTACTATTACTACTGAAGCAGCAGATGAACATAAAAATAAATACTTTGCCATTTTTGCATGCCTGATTGCCGTTAGAGCGTTAAAACGTAGCTGGGAGACGCCGAGGAAGCCGGACGGAGACGGAGACGCAACTGTACACGGTTGGCTGGCTGGTTGGCAGTCTTGTCAGGACTTCCTTTCTTGCCCTGCACAGCCATCCCTTAACTTCCTGAACCCAGCCTTGCTTCCCAGCCGCCTTCCTAACTGCCCAGTCAGCTGTCAGTTGTCTCCGTCAGGACGTCTCCTGCCCAGAACCCAACCATAACACCAGCACCTGACCACTCTACATCTGTTTTAGTGCGTGCTTTTCTATATGTGTGTGTCTGTAACCGTTAACCGTTTACCGTTTACCGTTTACCGTTGCCCGTTGCCCGTTAGATGGTAGCGTTGCCATATCGTTGCGTGCCATGTTTTGAGTGCGTTTACCTTACGTTACGATACGTTACGTTGCGTTACGTTTAATGAATGTTTATTGCTCCTACCACGCATAGCGTAAGTGTGTTTCGTGTTGCGTAAGTTACGACCTAATTGCAAAAAGATAACAAAATAGTGCACCTCACTCGTAGAGCTCCAATGTGTATGTAGCCCTAGCAAAAACCAAACCTAGTCAAACGTAAATCGCACGCTTTGCATTGACCGGCTCTGTTGCATTTGACTTCTCTACTCTATACCTGTCTTACTTTCTTACTCTCTGGTTAATTTTCTTTTTCACTCTACCGATCTGTCTCGATCTGCCCGATCTGTAATCTAAGCCGTTCCTGTTTCCTGTATTCTGTTTCCCATTCCCGTAGTTGCTTGATATTTTGAGTTTGGAACCAGCTGTAGCAATTAGTTGTAGTTTAGTTAGAGCAGAGTTGTTCGATTTGTAGAAGACTTGTGATCCTTGAACGTGTGTCTTTTGTGGCATATCCTCGTACAGGACACGCTCAAATCAGCGCTGGATGAAACTCCGCACCACCGTACAAATCTCATCGGCCATACAGAAGAAACCACCGCTCAAGCGCGAAGACTCATTCCTGAAGCGTTTCTCAACTAGACAGATACCCGAAACACAGGTGAGCTACGTGAGCGTGTCACACTGACGTCTTCGAGTGGCAGTGGAGTGAACTGTTCACGTGCCGGAAAGATTCATACTCCATAATTTGCACTTACAGGAAACTGTTGAAGACACGGGTTCAGAAAGTGCCTCTGGTGACGTCGACAAAACGGTTAAGCGTCGGCGACGCTATCTGCAGAAACGACGCTCCGTTGTTAATCCAGATGAAAATTTTTACTTCTATTGGTTAATGATGTTAACTATATGTGTTCTCTATAATCTATGGACCCTAATTGTGAGGCAGAGCTTTCCTGAACTGCAGGTAAGTCAGTCAATGTTACGCGACCAGGCCATTAATGTCAAACCTTTTGTGCTGGTTGTCCTTCCTTCAGTTTTTCTAATGTCGTTGCCTCTTTAGCTGTCCGCCCCGCCACCTCTCCTGCCTCTCCATTGAGGAAAGAGAACACCTTTTGTCATAATGCTTCAACTTTTGTAAGATGAGTTGACTTGCTGCTTAATAATAATGCCCAACGGCCATAAAATTTCCTCAAACAATGAAGTTTATTAGGTATTTCAGTAAAAGACGAGAAAAGGCAACTCCCACGAGTCCTTGAATTGTTGCTGGGGTCCTTTTAAAAGTGGGCTTAATAACTTAACTAGCTGAAGGCAAGGTAATACTGCGACGGAAAAAACTGGCCAGAGCCAGAGCCAGAGCCAGAGCACGGCAAGAGGGATGCTGATTAGTCTTTAGGTCTGCCCAAAAGTAAAGCTTTCCAGGACTTTTATAACTCATTCAGTCAACGCTTGAGCTGGCCTTCTGTGCCGTTTGCTCTACTTAAAGCAAATGTATTACACTCCCTATTGAAGGTCGATGGACTGGATGATATCTATGGCCAGGAAAAACTATCATACGGAAGTCTGGAAAGCTTATAATAATTTCTTTCTAATGAGTTTATTTATCTACTTATCCAGTTCAGTTTAAGTCTGATTGGCCAAAACTGATAAAGGTCTGACGGTAAACGGCTGATTGGGCTTATCAATGGAAGTCCTATGTGATTTCGTTTATATTTTGTATTCATTATAGGGTATTTGCAGCCTGTCATGACAAGCGCTTAGCTTGGCATATTTTCTTATTTCCTTAATTTTTTATTTTATTTTGCCAGCGTTTCGTAATGACTCAATTAAAAGACACGCAGGCAGCTCAAGAGGTCTGTCGGTGGCTTCTTTGGTTAGTTAGTGGGCTCTGTTTTTTTTTTTTTTTTTTTTTTTTTTTTTTTTTTTTGGGGACCTGTGCAAATGTTTGTTCACGGCCCAGTTGGCTGGTGCTTGTCATCAGATTAAAGTCAGCTAAGGGTTGCCAAAACAATGTGGAGAACACACACCTATTTGAAGGTCCGTTTTTTTTTTATTTATTTTTTTATGGAGGCGTCGCTGTTGACCTTTGGGCCGTGTAATGTGTTGTTGCGATGGGGTCTCTCTTTATTTTTGTCAGCTTGCCATTTGTGGAGGTGACTCTCGTGCATTTGCAATTGTGGAAATGCATTGCTGAAATAACCGATTGTCCTTGGCCCCAGTTGTTCTAACTAATTGCAAAAATCTCAACTAATTTGTACCGAAATGTATTTTTAAATTTGGCTCTCGCAACTTTTTGGCTGACAGCAATCTGTGCCTACCTTCTGGCTCATCTGCGATTCAATGACAGATGTTGTATTTATCTTAGATATAATAGTTCAATTACGTACGGGCTATCTGGAGCAGGGCCTAATGGTGAGTGCCGAGCGTAATAATATAGCCATTAACCGACTAACGTATATAATATGCTGCCTCCTCCAGGTATATGATGACAGGAAGCTGGCCTGCCACTATGTGCACTCGCGTGAGTTCATCTTCGATATGATTGCGCTGATACCCTTGGATCTGCTACAGTTGAAGATGGGCACGCATCCGCTTTTGCGTTTTACGCGCTTTTTTAAAGTGAGCCACCAAACAGCGATAAGTAATCGAACATATATATATATATATACTGTTCTCTGCTTGCAGGTATATCGATCTGTGAGATTTTATTACATCGTAGAGAGTAGAACAGTTTGGCCAAATTTATGGCGCGTTGTTAATCTAATTCATATCCTGTTAATATTGGCCCATTGGTTCGGTTGTTTCTATTTTTTGCTCTCCGAGGCGGAGGGCTTTCAGGTAAGTCCCCAGCAAATCGAACTGTGCTTGCCGCGTTTATTAACCCGCATATATCCTAGGGCGATTGGGTGTATCCGTACAGGCCAGGCGACTATGCGACGCTGACGCGAAAGTACTTGGGCAGCCTGTACTGGTCCACCCTGACGCTAACCACAATCGGCGATCTGCCCACACCCGAGACGAATGCAGAGTGAGTATGAGACGTTTGATCGACGTTGAGGTTTCACCTAAATCCTTGATATCTTTTGGGCGGGCTTAACCTAAAAAAACAGACCGAACTTTTCGGTGGACGGCCCTCGATCAATACCAAGGCGTGGCATCAAATCACGACTGCTACAGTTTGGCTCTAGCTATGGGTATGCGTTCCTCACTCCAATAACAACTAAATCTAACTCAATATAATCCCTATCACATTAACTTGCTTATTGTTGGGGGCTGTCCACCAGTTCGTTCGTGTTCTGTGCTAGCAAACAAAAAATACGAAAATTCAAATGAAATCTGCTCTGACAACTCTTGCATACATCACGATCAAAGCCTTGTCTACTCTAAGAATATTTCCTTGATATATTCGTTATCAAAGTTTTCGAAAGCGTGCGACAGCCTTCAACAATTCCAAACACATTTTAACGCTCACAATTGCCGAAGCCAATTTCAATCAAATTATGCGAAAATAAATATATTGAAGATGTGCTTTCGAAAACTTTGATTGAGCTTTTCAATGCCATCACAGTCTATAGGTAGAGGAACAGAGAGAGAGAGAGAGAGAGAGTGAGTGAGAGAGAGAGAGTTTAGGTCTAAGCATGTTAGACCAAACATATTTTGATTTCCTTGATAAAGGACGTATCATCCTTCCTTTCGCTCTGCCTCTCTTGCTTCCTCTTCCGCCTCTTGATAAGCTACGTAATGCCTCATGCTTCCTCTTTTCGGCTCCACAGGTATATTTTTACGATCGTTAGTTATCTAATTGGCGTTTTTATCTTTGCGACTATTGTGGGCCAAGTGGGTAATGTGATAACGAATCGTAATGCCAATCGGCTAGAGTTCGAGCGTTTACTCGATGGGGCCAAGACCTATATGAGGCATCACAAGGTAAGTGTTGCGTGGGCGACGATCGATGCGGATCGCTTAACTTGCTGCTTTATGGAATTTTGCAGGTGCCCGGCGGCATGAAGAGGCGAGTGCTGAGGTGGTATGACTACAGCTGGTCGAGAGGCCGCATACAGGGTGGCGGTGATATAAATACGGCTTTGGGCCTGCTGCCCGACAAGCTGAAAACCGAATTGGCCTTACACGTTAACCTGAGCGTACTGAAAAAGGTGACCATATTCCAGGAGTGTCAGCCTGAGTTTCTGCACGATCTCGTGCTGAAAATGAAGGCGTATATCTTTACGCCGGGCGACTCGATCTGTCGCAAGGGAGAGGTCGCTCGCGAGATGTTCATCATAGCCGATGGCATCTTGGAGGTGCTCAGCGAAACGGGCAAGGTACTGACCACCATGAAGGCTGGCGATTTCTTCGGTGAGATCGGCATACTCAATCTGGATGGGCTGAACAAGTGAGTGATCCCCAGGAGTTCTCCTTGCTTCCCCTACCCTTTCTGTTACAATAACTCTCGTTGTCCATAGACGCACAGCGGATGTCCGCTCTGTGGGCTACTCGGAGCTGTTCTCGCTGTCACGCGAGGATGTGCTAGCCGCCATGAAGGACTATCCGGATGCGCAGGAGATCCTGCAGACGCTCGGGCGCAAGCGTCTCATGGAGGTGCGCTGTGTCAACAAGAAATATGCCAAGGCAAAAAGCGACAAGGAGGATGCGGCCTTTGCCGCGGCCCATCCGCATCATCCGCATGCGCATGCTCATCATCATCAGGTGCACCAGAGCGACAGCAGCGAGAACAGTGCCTCAAAGAAGATCGTGGACAAGCTGAAGCACGATGTCAAAGGCTTTCGCAATGTGCTCAAAAAGTCCAGGTAGGCCGCATATAAGAAATATTTATGAAATTCGTATTATCCAACATTTGATACAGAACTTCGCGCAAGAGCGACGAGTCGCTGGAAATGCAACCGCTGCATAATACCTCACCACGTGGCAGTAAGATCATGCTGAAGCGTATGTCACGCGTTCGCTCCGACGACAAGGACGCAGACAGCGCCGAGGCCAAAGACGAGCTGCACGACAAGACACCCAGTCCCATTGGGGCTGGGCTGCCGCTGCTGCAGCGACTGCGTCTGCTCAAAGAGAAACAAGTAAGTCGAAGCCCGATAGCATTCATAGTCAGTGCCATTTGTTCATGAACCACAGCCACCGTCACCACCACCGCCCAGTTCTATTTCTCTCACCAACTATTTTGATCGATTCACCATTCCAATTGGAATTCGTGCATACGCAAAACTAATCTGAACACATATCGCAAATATCGTATTTATCGTCTTGATATCATTCGCCTCATTCTATTACCTCACAAGCTTTTAATGGAGTTTATCCCAACACTCAAGCAAACAGTACAGTACAGTACAGTTAGAGCAAAACATATACGTATGGCCAGCAATACGCATACGCTAATCACGCTCCACAATTCCAATACACTCACAAAGCACTCTTATATTTACAAATACGCACAGCCGCACACTATTATACTTTCAAACGAACAAACGTTAGCAGTCTTATACTCGCGAACAGTTCTGACTCGTATACTCACAAGTATTTATACTCACCAATGCGAACAGTCGCATTCTCACAAGCACACGTACGCTCGAACACTCTTATACACTTATACCCGCTCGATGCGCACTCTCTTCTATTTTTGGAGTCGCATTGAGTGCTGCTTCCTCTTTTTATAGTTCCTTGTTCATTTTGTTTACCGTTCACTTGGCTTGAATTTGCTGAACGGTTATAGCTCCATATTGAATTGCTTTTAGTGCACCTTAAACATTTTTCTTAGCATTTAATATCTGATTGCCATTCAGTTGACAATATCTCGTTTGAAGCACGCTCTGCAAACGAGTTCAATTCATGAATGGCCCATGGATTTGAGTTGCAGTCAGAGTTCACGGTTGTTAATTAACAAGCAAATGTTCTTGAATGGTAACCAATATTGAGCTTTAAAATATATTTGTGGCTAGCAAGGTAAGGTCTGAGAGAAGCTAATGCTAGGTCAGCCAATATGTTATCGCCAGCAGCTTTTTATGATATTCTGTTAAAATAGAACGATCTATGTTGTAATCCATATATAATGTGTTGCTGTAAACCAAAACCAATTAGTGAATCAAAATTTGCTTGACAGCTGCCTTAAGGATATCCCTCAATTAGTTGCTTGCTTTAAAATATATTTTTTACAGGAATACTGACTTAAAGACACATGAAACTCAGAAATACACAACGCATAACTATAACTACAGTGTCAAAATTACCTTTCATAAATACACCACACTACAATGGACTATAATGGAGAAAAGTACTCTACATTATTCACCATACAGCACAGCTGGCCAAGCCGTGCCAAAACTAACCATTTCCATGCATATTCTGCCAACACACCACACATAACTTGCGCAAAACTCACCACACATGCCTTTCTATCGACATATTTCACCATTCCATGCCTAACAACATTTGACCATAACACACCACACATGATACAACACACCACAGTTGATTACACCTCACCGCATCTCGCATACGCAGTTGAAAAAAGAGTTAACAAAATTTGATTTGGCATTTGTTCGATTTTGATTTGGATCTTGATTTGATTTAGCTTATAATCCAATATGAAAATGAAATAAAAACAAACAAAAAAGATAAAGAAACCAATCAATCCAGCAAAATTCGTGTTGTATGTTATGTAATGAACCCCGGCTCTCCTAAATAGTAGTTTTTGTATGTGTCTTTATGTGTCTTGCACTAGGATCGCGAAGAGCGAGCTGTTAAGTCCACACCACCACAGAAATCTCCACCTCACTCACATGTAACGTGTACGTTATCGCCGCAGGAATCGATACAGGAAGAGCCCGAACGCGAGTTCAACGAAGGCTTTCCCCTGATCCAGCGATTGCAGCAGTTGAAAATTAAAAACGAGCCACAATCGAATGCCAGCAACGAGACCCAAGTCGTCATGGTAAACCACGAAAACACCTCTCTCTCTCTCTCTCTCTCTCTCTCTTTCTCTTTTTCTCTCTGAAAATCAAGCACCAAGACACAGCCTCCACTTGTCATCCACTTGATACTAATCGCACTTTGTATCCATCCATCTCTAGGTAAACACGCCGCCTAACATCAGCAGCAAGGTGGACTTTGCGACGGCAACAGGCGGTAGCGGTGTTGGTGGTGCAGCAGGTGGTGCTGCGGGTGCTAGCCAAAGTTTAACCGTTGCCCAAATCAAGCCCATCATGAAAGTCTCCTTCAAGCAGAAGATACAACAGCTGCAGGGCATAGTGCCGGCTATACCAAGTGGTAGCAGCACCGCAAGCACGACCGGGACCACCAGCACCACCGGTGCCATAGCCAAAAAGGAGCCACCCAAATCGCTGGCAGTGGTGGCCAAACATGGCGGCACAGCTCTGCCAATAGAGCCAACAATTGGGGCTGGTGCCGTTGGCCAAACCTTGGCCGCCATCACCACCCAGTCGAAGAAGCTAGTGAAGCCATTTACACCACAGCCATCGGACACGGACACCGATGGCACGCCAATTAAGCCTTGGTCCAAGCTGAAGCTGGCCACACTCATGTCATCCAGCTATACGAGCTTAAACAACTGCTCGCCGGACGATCTGGCAACGCCGCTGAAGAACTACTCACTCAGCAATATACCACAGCAAATGGAGAGCACCACGAGTGCTCGACCACGCCACCACAGTGCCCGCAGCTCCCGCCACAGCCATGGTCACGGTCACGGGCATGGGCGTGGCCATGGCTCTACCTCGAGCACGTGCTCGTCGAGCACACGCAGCACGTTGAGCACGACACGCGATTGCCTGCGCCTGCAGAAGCCGGAGCAGAAGCTGCCCGAGGGCGAGACCACAACGGGCGGACGTAAGCTGTATCAGAGCGTGTTCGATCTGTCACCGGAATATTGTGGACTGCCATTTGTGAAGCGTCTGAAGATCTTGAACGAGCGCCAGAAGCTGGCCGAGCTAGAGAAGGCGCTGCAGACGCGCAGCTTCAGCTTGGACTGCTCGAAGTCGAGCAGCGGTAACAACAACGAGGTGCCCATTACGGAGTCCTTGTATCGCTGCTACAGCGACACCTCTGGCATCTACTCTCAGTTTCTGAGTACCTACGAGTCCGCCACCACCACCAGCAGCTCCACATCCACATCCATTTCGACCAACACATCCACCTCGGATGGCAATTCGAAGCAGCTATTGAAGCAGTTGGATTATATGCCCCTTAGCCCCGAGTCGAATGAGACGGTGGAGCGGCGCAAGCTGAAGAGCATATTGAAGAAGATGCAGCAGAGCGGAGCAGCTGATGATAATGGTGGTGGTGGTGGTGGTGCTGCTGCTGCTGATGGTGATGCCCAAGACGAGGCGAATGCCAAGACCAAGACCAAGGCCAAGGCCAAGGCCAAAACCAGTGCACTGTCGAGGGGGCTGTTAATGGAGCCGACCTTGGAAGGGTACGTGGCGAGGCACAGTAAGCTCTTGAAGAGTGTAACCTTCCATTCAACTCTTTCTAGCCCGCCCCCCAGTGCCACAGAGGAGGGGCACTTAGCGGCCCTCGGTGGTGGTGGTGCTACTGCTGCTGCTGTTTGTCTAAGCAGCAACAGCAGCAAAAGCAACAACACACAATTCGCGAGCGCGGGCACTAGCACAAGCTTCGGCTTCGGTTCCAGTTCGGGCTCCGGTTCCGGTTCCGGGACGGTAACGGTCATCGGTTCGGGCAACGGCAACGAAAGTGTGGCAACGTCACGATCAGCTGGCCTTGTGCTGCCAGATCAGGCTGCCTGGTCGCCGACGTTAGCATTGGTAACGCCAACGAATTCGCCGCAAGAATGTTTCGCCGCATTTGAGCCGCAGTTGGTCGGCGGCAACGGCGTCATCGCTGGCGTTGGCAACGGCTCAACGTCAATCGCTTCCGCAACCGCATCCGCATCCGCATCCGCAACCGCAACCGCATCGTATGTGGTCGAATGCTCGTCGAATACCGAATTTCATGCACAATCCACAACATCCACAGATTTGAATTTGAATTTGCAGCTCCGGCAGAACACGACCAATGCGACCAGCCAGGCGGGTCAGTTGCCGAAACTGGAAGGTAATTACGATAACTGCTATCGATAGGCGATACTATTGCAGGTCTCTCCTATACTTAAAAATATATATATATATATATCAAATACAATTACTCCAAGTCCAACGCTTACCACGCCCTCAAGCTCAGCAACACTTAGTAAATAACTATCGATTGTGCTGTCTCTAGCTGGCATTAAGGGTATTTCACTTGAGGTTAATTTTTGACAACATTTTAATTTAACATGGCCCACATTTAATTTCATTTTTAAAGTTATTCGTTTGCTATGCTGGAATACCCCTAATGCGACTCAGACTGAAGCGCTCTGCATGCTCCTTGCAGCGCCTAAAAGCACACTACACAAACTGCGAATGCTTCGCTCTGGCTTTCCCGCTATCTCTCTCTCTCTCTCACTCTGGCTCGCCCTCTCTCTCTCTCTCTCTATCTCTCTGTCTCTGTCTCTGTCTCTTTAAATGCCTTTAAATTTATTGCATGCTGATGCCATATCTTGGCACTTGCTATTTGGTATTACTTAGGATATTATTGCTTAACATTGCGAATGCTTTTATGCTAGGCTAAGCGTTGATAGCACCTTATAATTTACCTTAATGTCTACAAACACACAAACCAAAAAACCACATCTTTCTAGGTCTTTTAAGCATAGAATATGTATATTTGTACTGTACATAAGCTAAGGTATATCGGTTTATCCGTACAGTAATATCGATTTGCGTATAATTAAGGGCTTTTTAGTACACTTGAAAATATTGTAAATATTTGTTTCACATATAATTTAAATTGAACTAAGCTTTAACTTTATAGAGATTAATAACTTTTTTGGGTTAAGTACACGATCTGCACCGCCACAATAGCATTTTCAGCCCGTTAACGTACGAGCTCGTCAGCGATAAGCGTTATCGATAAATTGAGCTTGAAACTTATCGAAGCACGCGCACGCACGCTTTGGAACGCAATGGAATGAAACAACGACGACGGCGTACAGTACTTCAGCATGCAACTAACACGCACACAAAGACACTCACACACACACACACACACACACACACACACATATAGACATACACATAGAGAACACTAAACGCTTTTGTAAATACGTAAAATTTGACAACATAAAAGAAACACAGAAAACCCGAATGAAAACTCTCGAAACTTTTGCGCAAAGGCAGCTGTAATTTGTATGGGAATGTGTGTAAATAACTGTAATCTGCGTATGTATGCATAACCTATATTTTGCTTATCATTTGGCAATACAACCACCACAACAACAACAACAACAACAACAACAACAACAGTAGCAGCAGCAGCAGCAACAGCCGAAACGTGTTCTGCTGTACTTGGCTCTGTCTGTCTTTTTCCCACTTACACACTCACACACTCACACACACACACACACACACACACACACAGTCGCACACACGCGCACGCATAGCTGTGCCTCTCACTTGTCCGCCAGGGACCGTACACAACTGTACCACAAGAGCACGCACAGGGTTGCCAGATCATTGCATTCAGTTACTAACCAATACGATACTCCATTTGAATTTGAATTCAAGGCTTTCCAGAGGCGCAGGATTACTTCAATCAGATACTCAGCGGCATCAATCACGTGATCAAGACGCACATGAACGAAATGCACTCGAAATTCGAATCGCAGTTCTCGAACATGGCCGGCGAGGTGAGACGCCGCGACGCTATCATTGCACAGCTGCAGCTGAAGCTGCGTTCCATCGAGCAGAAGCCAACGATGCCATCGACGACGCGTCGCATCAAGCGCGAGAAGCTGCCCCAGCTGTCCGTGGACGATGACGAGCCAGCCGAACAGGACAACAGCAGTTCGGGCTCCTCGGCCGAGTTGCTCTTCATGGTATGCCCGTTTCCATTTCGTATAGTGTAGCTCTGTCTGTCCGCCTAAGCTGATGAATGCAAGCCATGGCTATAGATTGTTGGGATACTTCCCAAAGCTAAGCTGCTAATTGACTGCTGCCCAGTCAAAACAAGCTGCATCTTCCACAGCTTAGCAGCCTTAGCCTCAGTGTTTGCTCTCCATCCACACCTAGTGCCTGCCTGGTAGATCGGAAGAAACTGTATCCTGCCTCAACCCTTCTCTATGCAATTGTCTTAAAGTCCGCAGGATATTCTTCTTCAGTCTGAGTCCATAACCATTATTAAAGTCTTAGCATGAAGGCTAAAGGCCAGAGATGACAGCGCCGTCCTGCTTGCCAATCAGCTCATGTAACACATCGAGTAGCCAAGGTCATTTGTTAACTGCAACGTGCTGCAAAGTGTTAACTGCAAAGGCAACCTGAACGGCGCATCGTTAAGGGAGCTGCTGATTTGCGAGACTTACAAATTGAGCGGCTTGAATGACACGTTGGCTGTGAGGGGGCGGGGGCAGAGGAAATGTGCTGCTTGCTCTGATAATCCATTCTTTGTTCTTACTTAATTTCTGCTTGCCTGCAGCGCGGCGACTCGCTGGACACTGTGTTCACCTCCTCGCCGCCCATCCAGGGTCGGCGCAGCATATCGCCTGGTCCCAGTCGGCATCATGCGGCCTCCGCGAATGCGCTCAACTGTCCGAGCAGCTACTACAGTGGGCCCGGCACATTGGCAACGCGGCACGCACAGAGCCATCCCAGCTTCTATACGCCGCATAGCAGTCACGGTGGGGGCGTTCTGCCCGGCTATCGGGACTGGCATGAGCAGGGCATGGGGATGGGAAGCAGCATGACAGCTGATAGCAGCAGCAGCAGCAACGCCGCCATGATGATTGCCGATGTGACGGGCAATTTGACCCGACTCTCGGACAGCGTCATTCTCGATATTGGCGAGAGCTCCAGTTCCAGCTCGTCGTCCAGCAAGGTGAACGTCGATGTGGACGACGACGACGACGAAGACGACGATGAGGCGGAGGATGAGCTAAGCGGCGCGGCACTCGTGGCGGCAACCGGCAGCAGCAACAACGATTGGGAGGTGCAAATGCTTGCCGCCGAAATGGAGAGGCAGGAGCGCAAGCGAGGACACTCGCTGTCCGACAATCTGGGCGAGCTGCGGCACTGCAGCACGTTTCTCCGCAGACGTCGCAAGTTCAGCGACACCGAAACCGAATGCAGCGAAACGGATGCCGACGAGCGTCTGGCAGGCGGTGTCGGTGGCAGCGCCAGTGCCAGTGGGCCGGCGCCTACAGCTGCCGATGTGGATGCCACAGCCAGTGGCAGCAATCGACCACGCGCCTCCAGCTTGGATCAGTTTAACCTGCGCTACGGCATCGGGCGCGGCATCTTTAAAGCAATGAGCATCGATCGGGATAAAGACAAGCTTTGAGAACTATAATCACAGTAGGACCACGACACCAACAGCAACAACAAGGACAAACACGACAAACAACCGGACAGCATTACAGATGGTACAACAAACACACTAACACACTTCGGTACATATATAGATATATATACATATACTTATACATATACGTATGTATATATAATGTCCATGATATGTTTAGCCCTAGAAAACTCGCAAGAGCAAGAAAACCACAAAAAAAGATTAATGTAGGGGTATTCCCCCACAAAAAAAAGAAAACAACTTACAAATTAGTACTTGAGATAAGAAAAAGAAGAAGAAAACAGACAACCAAAGCGAATTGAGTAGCCTATCCACCAGTTAGTCCAGAAACCAAATTTACCTATTCGTATATCGTGTTATCGTTATCGATATTCCTTTTGTCCATAGCCAAATTTGATTTACATACGTATTTAATTAACTGATTTGCATTTATGTCTCGTGTTGATTGGCTATCATTATCGATATCCTGCTCATATGGCAGTAGCCAGTTATCCTGTTATCGTTATCGATTATTATTCTCTCTCACATAACTATCAAAATCAAATTCCAGAGTCCATGTATGCTAATGAGTTTTTTGTTGAAATGGAATATTTTAGTCTCACGGATATTCCATGCTCATGTTATCGTTATCGTTATCGTTATCAGCTTCCTCCTATTTGATCATTTCTTGTTATTCAATATCAATCGGGATGTTGATTCCCTTAAAACTTCTAAATCATAGACATATCCGCATACAGTTCGCTCTCCTGTTATCGCTATCGTTATCGCTATCGTTTTGCTTAACATTTGATACATTGGTCATCTGCGAGTACCTAGATATAATACCGTCCTATATATAGCGTCCATGCCATCGGCGCCCATTATATGATTTGTATTAGTATTGAAAGTGTGACGAGTGTCGAGTTCTGATCCATCTATCGTTTGCCTTGGTTCCTGGACATGTCCTGGTGGATGGGCTTCGCCTCAATGGGAAAACCATAATGTATATACCTCTTATCCTATTAGGTACGTAGTTATACACACACACACACATACACAGACAAATCTATATATATACATCTATGTATATAGGAAGTATATACATATATATATATATATATATATATATAAATGAAAATATATATATGATATGATATGAAATAGTGTAACGAAAACCGAAAGCTTTAATAACTTATATAGAGAACTATTTAAGAAACATTTTAAATACTAATCAATTCAAGGAACAACAGCAACAAGAGAAGATACCAACAGAAGCAGAGAGTAAATCGTTAAGCTAGAAACACACAAATATTGATAATATATATATTTATGTATATATATATATACATCCATCTATATATATAGATATTTAGTATACATATATGAAGTTATATAATATACAAATACTTATACATAGAGCCTTTAGCATATACATACATACATATATACTATTAACACATGGATAATGAGTTGGAAGTTATTATTATTAGATCTGTCTAAGCGTAAGTCTACTTGTTACCAGACCTATCTACACCTAAACCTACACCTACACCTACACTATAGCAATCTAGCCTAGAGTCCAATGAATGCAGCAATAATCGATACTACTATACAATGCTATCAGGCAACTCACCTCTCAGCTGTCATCTCTCATCTGTCATCTCTCATCTAGTTAGTCTAGCGGACCCATTGGCTTTATAGTTTTCGTTTTGAAACACTCTCCTTAAAGCACGCTGGGTACACTTTAGCTTTTATATAGCGCCAACTTCCTCTACGTTAAGGCGGGCATTTCCAAAAAGTCTATTAGTTCAGTCTCTAGCCGATGCACGAACAACAATACTTAAGCTTTGCTCCTCACTAAATAGGAGCTCCTCCAATCTAATGTTTCATCTACAAGCTAAGCGCCATTTTATTGTAACACTTAAAGCAAACATTTAACTTAACAACTTTAAGCAAAAAGGAAAAGAGGAAAAAGGAAAAAGGAAGCAAATATAGTTAACTTTAAGAAGCGCAAACTCGACAAAGAACTAAAACAAACAAAAAAAGAAATAATTGTTATATTGTGTTATGAAACAAGAAACAAAACAAACAACAATGAACAAAGAACAAAAACTGTTTTTAATCGAAATATTTTACCAAAATGTTAAAAGAGAAACTTGTTACTTTAAGCTAGAAAAGACGCTGTTAGAGACCGTCCCCACACCGCCCTGAACAGTGTACCAAAGCTTCGAAATTATCGATAGCACTGATGACGTCGATATCGATTATCAATATTTGATTTAAGACGAAATGGCATCAAGGCATCAATCTCAATAAGAATTAAGGATACTACCGAGCCTTGAACTACGTAATGCGTGCCTCATTGGTATTTAGTCTAATTATCGATATATATTTATCGATAGTTTGGCAACTCAACGCTCGACCGCCCGCGCTGCCCTAGCCGAACCGTTGTTATTTGTAGTCAAATGTGGCGATTAACCGAAGGCCTAGCCACGCCCACTATAGAGTTTCGTAGCGCCTAGACAGCAAACGTTATTAATCGTTAAGCGTTATCGATAAGCAAAATAACAGAAAAAGCTAGCCTAACTATCGCATTGTGCATTGTGCATTGTGCATTGTGTAACGTAGTTCGCGCACGACGAAACAAACCGACACTCTTCAGATAATATTTATATATCTATGCACACTACACACACACACACACACGCACACACATACACAAATATGTTCTATATGCTACTACCAACTAACCATATGTAAGAAATACAACAACAACAACAACAACTACTAGTCGGCGTCTGAGTCGTACGCCATTTTGCATTGTACAAAAAGCACAAGAAATGCCAAATCGACATCGACATCCATATCGATATCGATGACGATAACGCATCAATTCAAGGAACAATTTCAATGGGTTCAATAAATGGGTCACAGCCAGCTAAACAGTCCAACTAAATTTAATTAAAAGTACCAAAAGCCAAAGGAAAAAAGCACAACTTAATCGAAACTCTCGTAGCCATCTATACTGTTAAGTGATTATATAGTCAATGTATGCACACGGACATACATGCGCGACATATGTACAAACATAAGGTATTATCTTGTTTTCCATATTCGTTCTGTAATTATTTCATTGTTGAAATCTTTGAAAAGAAAAGCAAAAAAAAAAAACAAAAAAAAAAAACGAAATGTTTTTTCTCTTTTATTTACATACGCCAGGGACCACAAAAGTTTTGATTTTTGATTTTCCTTTTTATATAAGGACAAACGTGACGAAAGTATAGAGCACGATGCTAGCAAATGTAATACAACTAAATCTAATGGAACTTACGATATATAAATGCAACTATGATAAATGTAAACTGTGTAAACTTCATCATATTATTTGCATCACAGCAAAGCAAAGCAAAGCAAACAAATAAACACACATACACACGTGAAAGGGATTGAGAATATCTTTTAGAAAAATGTTCCATATATCGAGGTATATTTCAGAGCCAAGAAATATCAATTCGACAGCTGCAGAAATACATCCAGAAATATCCGAAAGAATTGAGAATGTCATTCATTTGGTTTGGTTTGGTCGAATCTGAATTGTAATCGATATATTGCATATTGAAATCGATAGCAGAACAAGATACACACACACAAACACGCACACACACACACACCCATGAATTGTATGAAACTCTGTGAGTCAATTATAATACTTATGTAAATGAATGCTTTAACTGATTTTTGACGACAAACTCCCGACCGCCCCTCTCCTCACTTCTCATTCAGCATTTCCCCATCTTTCGACTCTGTAATTATTATGTATATGGCAGTATTTTAAGTATTACAAATTGATGTCGTTGTTGTTGTTTTACAATTAATCGCTTTAAAGTTATCGATATTTTTGTACATTAGCTTAAGGTAGCCTGTTAAGAGTGCCCCACAAGCCTAGTCTTAAAATATTCATAATTTCGTTTTTCATTTCGGCTCTGTTTCACTCTCTCTCATACACACACACACTATTTCTCTCTCTCTCTCTCTCTCTCTGTCTCTGTAATTTTATTGCTAATTTCGCAAGTTTAAGAACAAATGAATGCAAATTATTATAGAGTTAATGAAATATATGAAGTATACATAAAAAGAAAATGAAATTAGCACATGTTAAAGAAATGCAAATAAAGAAACGAAACAGTTTAAGCGAAATCCCGAAAGGATCAACCGAACACTTGCCTCTCAATTCCGAACTAACTCTCAGTGTGCCAAAAAATCCACATCATATCAAGTTTACTCACCACACGATATGATGTTGCCGCTAAAATGCCCAGAAACAGATGAGAGATCATAAACAAACCTCAGATAAATGAAAGTATAACACGAAAACCAAATGCAACTAAGGTGAAATTTGATAAAGACAAAACCAAGAACTAAAACCAAAATTGAAAAGAAAAATATAATAAAACTAATAATAACAAAAATATATATTAAATAAATTGAAAAAAAAAAACACAAGATAAGCAAAAAAACATGCCTCGAATCGCCTTTATTGGTAAAGTAAAAGTATCTTTCTATGGGAGCTGCCTTAAAAAGCAAGCTGAGCAGCACTCCAAAGGTTCAGTTAAGCAATATTTACAGAGTCCAATTAGCCCTGGGATGTCAGGGAAGGTTTGAAAACGCCTGAAACGTTTTTTGGAATGAGTCTCACCTCCAAGGCAAATCTCAATTAACAATCGGATCTAATCTGTCTGAGATATTGTCCTTAAATCTTCAGAAATCACCGAATATCTAGCTTCCTTATGCTTTTTTAACAAAGAGTTTTTAGTATAAACTCCTCTTCATTTTTGCTAATCGATTTAAACGCTAAGCCAAAGCTTAAATTGCCAACTCGTTATGGCGCCATCTAGCGTACGGCAATGGCAACACTCGCTGCAGCTTTTATACAAGCGAGCTTTAGCATCTCAACAGCTGTGCGCCTCAGCTGAGCGTTGAATGTGCCGTTACATGGCGATAGCGCCGAGTGGCCACTATCTATGCAGCGGTTGGGCAACGCTGTGCGCCGAGCAGAGCTTTCTACGCTCGGCGTCGCTCGCTTTCATCCCCACGATTTGCGATGCTGGCGCATAAAGCAGAAACTCTTCAGCGCATCGACAAGTCCGCGCGAGCCACAAGCTCTACACACGACGCGGCGGCCAACAGAACCAAATAGAAAAGAAGAGCCAACAAAAAAAGGCACAAGGGGAAACAAAATTACAAAAAAATCGAAAACAAACAACGAAAAGCGCAGCGAAAAACAAAAACAAATCAATTTTTTTTTACTAGTTTTTAAGTATATTTATAAAACGGAACGAAACGAAACGAAGCTAACGGAAATGTGTGCGCTGTGTAGGGATTCTGTTTTCAGAATCTGTGGCATGTAACGGTATAGTTGGACGTACGCGAGTGTGTGTGTGTGCGTGTGTGCGAGTGTGTGTGTGTGAGTGCGAAGCGCGGAATCGGAATCGGTAAGTGAAATTTCACAGAACAACAAATATTATTTGTTTACATTTGAATGAAGACCATCTGAGTGTGCGTGTGTATGTGTGTGTGTGCGTGTGTGTGTGTGTGTGCATGCGTGTGGAAAATACTCAAATTTGTGATTTTTTGTTTTTCGCCATCGTTGCAGAATTTGAGATTATTTATTTGATTTCGCCCGCACAGACGTAGACATATACATATGCACACAGTTTGGAATCATAAAAACTGTTGTTAATGCGGCATATGTGGGGCCACATGCAATGCCCACATGCCCCGGCCCCTCCCTCCGTTGCCTACTCTGGCACACGTTAACCCTAGCTACCTGCGCCCCTCTCCCGCACCCTCTCCTGTTTCTAGTTATGTAAATTCCTCAATAGCCAGCCGTGTGAGCATATGTCCAAAATTGCAGCTGGCTTTCGCTCGACCTGGGCGTTAGCGATTTGCTTCGTTCACTCACCTGCCGCCCCGAATGTGGCAGGTGAGGCGCTGGTAGGGGTGGCTCCATGCCATTTAGCTGTCTCGGGGTGGGCCGTTGCTTAGCATGCCTTAGCCGGCTGCTATGCGTGCCCCATCTGATTTATACAATCAAATTATATTCTGGTATTCCCTAGTTTGCGCCTTTCTTTCTGCTTCATTCGCTGCCTCTCTCCCCCTCCCCCCTCCCTCGCTGCCCGTGCTATATGGCCCATTTAATGGGCAGCATTTAATGCAATTGTCAGTTGCGGTCTTTCGCCTTGTTTTATCTGCACTAGTTTTTTGGGCTCTCGGGTTGTTTCAACGCTTGTTCAAATATTTCGTTTGCAATTTGCAATTTGCAATTTAATATTCATTTTCAACAATTACCTGTCTGATAGGCCACATATAAAACGCATAGCTAGGGCTTATAGTCATTTGCCAAGGCCAGCCTAATCACAGCCTCTCACACACGCACAGCAGCCCCTCGCTTGGCGCCTGCAGCCTTTGTGCTTGCTTTACGTGCGTAAGCTCGTCTGACTACTGTTTGAGCGACCCTCGTAGCATGCCACATGCCCAGCTGTTGCATAAATTTTCGCATTTGGTTACTTGTCTTTTACACACTCACACACACATGCACATGCTCATGCTCATGGGTGTGTGGCATGCATATACATATATATACATATATATATATATATATATATATCCATATATATATATGTTTTTTTTTTTGTGGATTTCATGCGCGTGTTGAGAAGCTCAAGGAATTTTATAGTTCGTACCAAGGCATGACAGGGCGATTTCCTTTTGCTACGGCTTAGCCTTTTCAACTATATACCCTATAGCCGGCAGGCGTGGCAAGTGGGGCATGATAACACGCAGAATCGAAATTAATATGCATTCAGCATATCTATATAGACTGTCTATCTAGTATATATCTACAGTAGTTATGCAAATTTAGTTGTGCCTACAGGGTATCCGGTAGTCAGGCACTGCCGCTGCACTACTCTTCTCTTTTCTACATTTTTTTTTTGTGTTTGTCAGCTGTGGTTGAAGTGTAGCCCGCCCGCCCCTGCCCCTTGTGGCGCGTTCAATGGCAATGGTTAGCGAGTAGGCTCGAGGATTGAGGCTATGGCGTCGTTTAGTCCTTGCGCATTTTCCGTATCGTCTCCATAGCAAAATCAACAGAAAAAAAAGGCAAAAAGCGAAAATAGAATAAAATAAAAATAGGATAATTTAAGCCTCGTTGCTTTGAGTTTACTTTGCGTTCAGTTTCGTGGGTTTTTTGTTTTCAGCTGTTTGCTGGGGCAACATATTACGCGAAATTCAGGGGCCTAATTACCCAATGCCCGTCCATGAGCACAAGGGCTCTGTCGGCACAGAGTCTACGCAGTGTATGCCTAGCCACAGCCTTACATAGAGCTCTACTCAGAAGTTGCTATTATTAAATCTGAAACTAAAAAGGAAATTCAATTTCCTAACTGATTTGATTGACTGACGGACGGATGACAGATTGATTGATGTTCAGTGCTCAGTGGCGGAAGCACATCTCAGGGTGTTACCTCTCCCGAAGCGTATGCATGTTGCAAGCAGCTCAGCGTATATCTGAGTTACAAATGGTAAATCTTATACGAAGCTCCTTCTCTCTCTTCTGCCTCATAGGGAAGCTTAGATATGACATTAGACCAGCTTTTCCTTGGCTCCTCCTGCTGCTTGCTTTCCATTCACGTAAGGATTTAAGAACATGTTGACAATGTTTCTTAGTTTACGAAATTTGTCTCGATTCTAAAAGCAAAAGTTCACTTTATCGATGGATCTCTTAGTATCGACATCGTTATCGATCTCTCTGTGCCCATCTCTCTCTCTCTCTCTCTCTTTGTCTATCTCTCTTTTGGTTTTCTTTTACTTGGTTTTCCTATCTCTCTCTCCCTCCATTTCGTCTCTCTCACTCTCTGCCTGTCTCATCATCCCATTTCCACAATCTCTTCATATCTCTCTCTCTCTCTCTCTCCCTCCACCTATCTCACTCTCTGTTTGTGTGTCTTTCAGTAATGCAAAGACGGCGTTATGGCACTGCAAGGCTGGCGCTTTTTCGGTGTCTCGGCAACAATCATCATCTATATAGGCGGCGTGCTATTTCTATCCATGAACAATATACCCGGCTCGCATCCAAAGCGCACACGCATCGAGCGATTCGCCGAGGTAGCTTGACGAAATTCGTAGTTTCGTTTCAATTAAACTGTCAATGATTATTTTTCCCCTTGATACAGTTTTCCAGCTTTCATAGTCCCCGGTTCCCCATGCCCAGTCGAAAGATGACCATTCGCTGGTGTCGCGACCTCAAGTATCTAAATCGCGAGCTTCCAAACTACACAGACTACAAAGCGGGCGACTACTACAGTAAGTACGACCTACAGTGGCACCATCCTAAAGGGTGTGATGCGACTTGAGTCTTAATTCAATAATAAAAATTAATTTATTTCAATCAATACATTCATTTGTTGTCAAGTGGTCAATTTTGTAGACTGCCCTCGCCTAGCATTCAGTGTTCAATTCAATATAGATTCACTGGTCTATGCCAATAGCTGATGAATATGGTAACAAGTCGACGAGTCGATATCGAAATCGATAAATATCGATTTTGTTGTTTATTTTGAAGACTACAAAGTGAAAACTAAATAGAAATAATACAATTATTGTTCACTTCCCGAAGAAGACTCTTTATTTCTTCACTTATAACAAGTCTGCGAAGTTATTAGAATCTAAATCTAAATCTGAATCGATAATATTCACTTTTGCAGCTGCTTTGCCCAGCGATGCAAGCGCCAATCTACAATTACAGGGTATTGCGCCGTCGCCCATGCTGACCGCCTTGGCGAGCTTTCCGGGAAGCGGCAATACGTGGCTGCGTTATTTGCTGCAGCAGGCGACGGGCATATTGACGGGCAGCATATACAAGGACTACGGCCTGCTGAAGACGGGCTTTCCGGCGGAGAACGTGTGCAACAGCTCCGTGTTGCTGGTGAAGACGCACGAATGGGGCGCCAAGGCATGGGCGCCCTTCTCCAAGGCGATACTCCTCGTCCGCGATCCCGAAAAGGCGATCATAGCCGAGTTCAATCGTCAGAGCGGCGGACACATTGGCTTCGCCTCCCCAGATCGCTACAAGCGCACCAAGGGCAAATGTGAGTAGAACGAGGTGAAGAGAGAGAGAGAGGGGAGAGGAGGGAGGAAAGAGTTAGAGAGATAAAAACTGAGTGAGAGAGAGAGAAAGCTGATTCTGGACTCTTCAATCGAGTCAATCTAGCCTTGCCTGTCCGTCCGTCCGTCCCTCTGTATAAACACATCTCGACAACTCCAGGAATTAAGGACTTGAAATTTGAAATACATTTACTGAGGTATCTGCTAGTTGGGCAATCCTCACTGTAGTTATTTTACAACCCAGTTTTTCCTTTCATACTTGTTTCTTCCTTCGACAGATTGGCAACAGTTTGTGAGCAACAAGCTCAAAGGCTGGGAGCTCATGAACCTCAGCTGGGCGCGCAATTTCACGGGCAGCATTAAGGTTGTATTCTACGATGATCTGGTCCAGCATACGGAGCGCGAGCTGCGCCACATACTCGAGTTCCTCGAGTATCCTGTCAACGAGCAGCTGCTGCGCTGCGCCTTGGTGCGCAAGGAGGGCATCTTTCGCAGGAAGAAGCGTCTGCTGTCCTTCGATCCCTACACGGACGCCATGCGAGCTGAGTTGGTGGCACGGCGTCGCATCGTCTACGGCATGCTGGGCAGATACGATTAGACTAGGATTAAGCAACGAGCAAAAGCAATGCAGATAACCACCTAAGGAGGACCGTTCGGCGTCCGACATCCAGCACCACTCAGTTCTCTACTCTCACAGCTTCCCCATGCAGATCCACAAATGCCTTTCAGTTCGAGTCCTTGCTGCAAAAGGACTCTACATAGGACCATAGATCTCAATCGAATGCCGTTTAGAAGCCAACAAACAAACGAATGAATAACAACTACAAACTAAGAACTAGGAATTAAGAACTAAGGATCAAGGCGTAAGGCGTAGACGTAAGCACCACAATAATACATTTATAACGAGCCCTGCCCGATTCGCCCTCTGCCATGCGCATCGTTTCGTCTCCTTTGCTGCTTAGTTCAAATAGCTATACTGCAGATATATAAATATATATATACATATATAGCATATATATACAAATTTTTTTGTTCTAAGTTCGATTCGGTTTCTTTGTTTAGGATAGACTGTAGGAGTAGTCATGCATGCGATTGCAACGAGAACAAAAATCGAGGTATTATGATTCCTGAACGAATTTATGAAATTCATTATACGCCATGTTGTGCTTCATCGCTCAAACATCATATATATATATATATATATATATATATATAGATATGGATATATATATATATATATATATATGCACACGTATATCAACATGTGAATACGTATTCCATTGATATTACTCTGTTTATATTGTGTACTCCAATGTTAGACTATCCTTGTAAAAAGTTTTATACACAATTCTACAATAATTTATTGATATTAAAACAATGATGAACATATTAGATAATTGTACAAAAAAGAAGTTATATATATATAAAAGCAAACAAACAAAAAATAAACAACAACAAAAGTGCAACGAGAATAAGAGTTGAATTCTGTTTGAGTTAACTGGGGTTAGCTATAATGAGGGTGGGCCAACAGCTGTCGGTGCGCTTTGGAAGCTTCCAATTGTCAGTTAAGGTATCAAAAAAGCTGTGACCTTTAAGGGTTGCAGCGTTTGCTTCCTCGATTTTCACAGTAGCTTAAAGCTCGAAAGCTTTAAAGCTACAACTGAGCTTGACAACTGCTTTTAATGTCGAAAGCTCAAGTTGAAAACTAAAAGTTTAGAGAGCTTTATTTCCTTGTAAGCCAGCACACATAGATGGCGCTCTAAGACTGAATGTCGAAAAATTATTTAAAATAAATATATATGTGAGAAATAAAAATTTATTAAAAAAAAAATTTTAAAAAATACAAAATTATTTATGTACTAAATATAATAACAAAATATGATTTTTATTTGTATTAAATATAGAAACTCACGTTTAAATATTTCAGTTTAGTATTTAAGTTGAATTAAACTGTGTTTGTGCTATATTCTTCATAAAATATATGTTTACTTGCAAAAATTCAAGAATTAGCATAACAAGTCATTTTAATTGACTAAAGGAACATTTTACAAATTTAAAACTTTTAGTTTTATGACTACTTATTAAATTTGGTAGTCGCTCAATTAAAAGTTAATTGAAATTGATTAAATTGCTAAAGACTCTGCAGTCTGCTGATCTGTGTAGCTGGCACCCGTTTCTGCTGAGGGTCTATGTGGAACACCCTGTATGTGCATGCATTTAGCAGTCGCATTCGCCGTACAATGAATAACTGGGCGCTAGGCGTAACCACACCCGCCCCAACATACGCTCTCTCTCACTCTCTCCCTTTCTCACTCTGGCGTCCCACACCCAGCCCTCTGCGAGCTGGTACCCGTTTTGTGCGGCATTGTCGGGCCGTGTTGGCCGTGTTTTGTGCCTTTTGTTAACGCTCCTGTCGCGGCGCCTGCCAAAAAATTGTGCCATATGCCGGACAAGCAGACAAGCAGTGGGCGAGCGAGAGAGCAACAGCTTGGAAAATGTAAAGAAAAGAGACAGCTGTCAAGAGAGAGACAAAGAGAGAGAGAGCGCGCGCTTGTGCATTGTGTGAGGGAAACTAGCAGGCGCTGCTGCTGCTGCTGCTACTGCTGCTGCTACTGCTGCTGCTACTGCTGCTGCTGCTACATGAGTGCGACTGGATGGTGAGTTCCAGTGCGCAGACGCTGCGCACAGCCGCCACCGTTGCCACATTGGCTTCGTCAAGTTTGTTGGCTGCTGCCCGGATACAGACAGAGCGGCGCTGTCCAATTCCAGCTGAACGAAACCGTCGACGCCGACGTCGGCAGCGCTGGGGCGACCAATCAGCGGGCCGCTGCTGGCATTACATAAGGCGGCGTGCCTGCCATTTTGTAGGGGTGGCCGCGACGGGCACGCCCACAGCTGCTGAATAATGAAAACTTGTCCTCCCCATTTGAAAATAAACTCTGAAGTTAGCGAAACTCATCATAGAATTCTTTATCACAACACAACGCGCGCTTGTCTAGTTGTGAAATCTGTTCGCTTGCGTTTCGTTTTCAGTTTCGACAATAGTTGAGCGCTGCGACCGAGCGACCGACCGGCCGACCGAGCGACCGAACGACCGACAGACAGATAGACAGATAGACACATATACATGCACACACCACATACACACGCCCACACCAGCACACGGACACACAGACAGAGGCAGCGAACACAAGCATAAGCGAACAGCTGTGCGAGCGACGGCCAAGCAAAGGCGCCCAAACACACCAAACGTCAAACGCCAAGCATCAAGCACCAAACACAAACAAAACACACGCACAGCCGGAGCAAAGAGAAATAGAAATACGAAGAAAAAAACGGCAAAATAAAAGAGGAAAGAAAAAAAAACAATTCGAGCTTTAAGCGAGGTTTTGGCTGCGGCTCAGGCTTAAGTTCAGGCGCGAAAGCTCTGAGCTCGCGAGTTGGCTCGGCTCGTCTCAGCTTCGCATCGCGTCGCCTTGCTTACGTTGCAACGGTAAACAGTGCTTACGTTGCCATCGCTTAACTCAGACCCAAACGTAGCGTCGTGTCGCGTTGTCGTTGTCGTTGTCGTTGCCGTTTCCGTTGTTCGTTTACGTTTACCGGTCATCGGTCATCGGTAATCGGTTATCGGCCAACTAATTACGCTCAATTACAGTCAGTGTGCAGGCAATTTCGTAATTGATAATTGTTAATGTTGTTATTGTTGTTGCTCGCTCCTCGTTTTCTCCCGCTACCACTCGCGACACCAACAGCAACAGCAACAACGGGCAACTGATTGCCACTTGCATTTGGCGACGGCAAACACCAAAACCCAACAACAATTTTTTTCTTGTGCTTTTTTTTAACAGTTTTGTCGCGCGCCTCACGCAAAACTAAACCACAAATCAGTGCAAAACCAAACAGTGTTTGAAAAATTGTTCAAGTTCTAAGCCTATATCAATATAGCACATATATATCTCTACAAAGAAATCGATAGAGAGAGAGAGAGAGAGAGAGAGAAAGTTGAATTGCCAAAAAGTCAACATTTTTGGTTGAAAGCGTTTGGCTGCTTTCAACCGATATATATATATATTTATATATATATATCAATATATATCTATATATATATATAGATATTGTTGGCGTCCTGCACTGCAGGACACTCTTTAAAGTTGTCAAAGTAAGTGCTTCAAAATTTACTCGCCAACGACTTTCGACGCCTCAAGGGCGTTCAAGCTGGAGGAGGATTTCGTCGGCGGCTGCATGACAATGTCGATGTACTCGACGACGGATAAAATGAAAATGTCAGCGCCCAGTTGTTTTCCAGGACGCTACAGTCCATCCTATCGAAGTTCGGAGCAAATGCGACGCTGCATGCCAAATCCATCTGTAAGTATCTAGCGACCCGAAAAATCTTCCAAATTTTCTAAATCCATTCGATTACCCACCACAAATGCTGATCCATTTGGCTGTTCTAAGGCAATGCCTTCAATCGGAATTCAATCTTCAATTGCGTTTAGCCGTCGGCACTGGCCAGCTGAGGCCTGCAGAGCTCTCAGCAATTGAGAGTACTTTACTTTGCTCTGCTCTAATATATTATATTATATATAGACATTTCTGACTCCTCAGCCAAATCTGAGAAACTATTTTGCAAATCAAACAAATCTCTAGCTGAGTCGTTGCTCTTGAACTCAAATGTTGAATGCATTCTGAACTCGTCCTGATTTATTTCCTCTACTTTTTAGCAACAGCAAATCTTGTCTCACAGAACAGCCAAACATATCATATAAAACGAATATTCCTATTCGAAATTTTTGCACAAAATTAAAGCCAATTCAATTCGAACACACTGATAATAATATTTCAATAATATTTCAATATTTGTTATTCGAAATAGACACAGTTTCAGTGCTGTATATATTTAAATATGTATTATATATTATATAATATAAATGAATATACCGTTTTCTAAAGAACATAGCATATTTTTCGGAGCATATTTTAACGGCACAAAAGTCGAATATTTGATTTAAAGCAATAAACCTGAAAATCCATTCATAGCCTTGATTTCTTTTTAAATTTGATCTCACATTGCTCTCTTGGCACGCGCCTTTTATTTAAATAAAAAATTGTTTATGCCATATTACGGCACATATTAATTAATTTGTCTGCTCTTGTCTAGTCTCATTAATATTAAATAATCGGCGGGCTTTGAGCTGCTGCCTAAGCTCTATTCTCGAACTTATCTAGCATTATATATATATATAAATATATATACATATAACTTATACATAAATATATATTTATTTATATTTATATTTTTATTTATATATATATAATGCAGACGAAACGGCTCTTACTCGGCTCTGAGCTCAGACATGTTTATTTATAAATACATTTTACACAGACAGCACACAAGCATACACATGTGTGTGCGTGTGTGTGTGTCTGTGCACACACAAACATATTGCAAAGTGGCAAAGCGGAAACGGAAAAGCAAATGCAAGCAGCAAAAAAATAAACTATAAAAAATGCATAATAATAAGTAAAAGTGTGTTAAAGTGTGAGTGTATATGACTTGAAAATACCCTGTATATATATATAAAATATAATATATAACATAATATAATATATATAAATATAAAATAAAAATAAATATATATTTTATAAACTCCAAAATATTTCATATATTCTTTATATATAATCAATATTATATATATATATATATATACATATATTTAGTTATATTTTTATTAGATGAAAATCAGATTTCTCAGTGTATAAATTCGATTTCCATACTACATGATGTATGTATATATGTATATGTATGTATATATATGTATGTATATATGTATATATGTATATATATGTATTGTATATATTTTTGAAATTCGGCTTGAGTTTTTCTGCCGATTCAACATTTTATTGAGAAATTGCAGCCTCTCAAGGTATTTAAATTTGACTAGACGTATTAATACCCACTGCATAGTTAGAGGACAATTACCTTGAGCTTACGCTGCCAGACAGCTGCAGTTGATCACCTCGCTTCAAGGATCAACGAGATCCAAGTACGTTGCAACTAGGTTGCAATTGGCCTGCCAAGCAGAGCCTTGTTGGCCTTGTATTGATTACAGGGTATACATGGAATGAAAGCTAACTACTTGTCGCATTAACCAACAAGCTGTGCGTGTGTGT